ATTTCTCCTCTGGCTCACAGCACTCCTTACTCCAGACAGGAGCTGAGACAGCTCATGTAGATTAATTCCTTATCTGAGCTTAAAACCCCCAGGGGCCCTTTGGAGTGAAAATAATAAAGGAAATGGAGAGGACAATGAAGAAAATGATACAGCAGAAGGTTTGTGTGTGAGTATTCCTTGGGTGGAAAATAAAACAGAGTGTCTATAAGGGTCAGAGCATGGGAGCAGCCAAAGTTTGGCTCCTTCCACCCTGAGCACACTCAGAGACAAAACAGTTTGTGCTGGGGTGAAATTAATGCTGGAGCCCAAATCTGGGTGTTTAGGGTGTATCTGTGTCCTGTGTACAGCTCGGATGCTCTGAGAAGAGAATATTCTTTATTTTTATGCAGATACTGTGGTGTAAACACTTTGCAACAAATGTTTGAGGGGAAGGTGACTAACAGGGATCCTGCAGACATGAAAATATGGATATTATCTCTTTTTTTCATAACAGTGACTGAATGCCCGTATTTCCCAGTGTTAAACCATGAATTACTTTTTTTTTTTCTTCTTCTGAAGCAGAAGAAGTAGTCTGACATCTAAATCTTAATTATGCCATTCTCAGTTTGTCAGACACAAATTCCTGGGAAGTTACCAGAATGTTTTTGCTCCAAACATCAAAAAGACTTTGTTCTTCTGAAGAATTAATTCCTTGGGCAGTTCCTTGTTTTTTAAATAAAGCCACTGTCTTTTTGGCTGGATCTTGGCACCGGGGACCATCCCAGGCTCCTCCAAGCAGGGCTGACCTGCAGAAAGGCCATTCCCGAGTCTGGCAGTCAAATCTCTCTGGTTCCATGCTGTGGGGCTGAGGGATGGAATGAGTTTGGTTCCTGCAGAGCCCTGAAAGGGATTCTTTGTTCTGGGGAGCAGCCTCAGTTCTTGGATGGGAGGGCAGTGGGAGCAGGACGTGGCATTTAGAGGGGTTGTGGTGGGTGGGGCAGGGGGGTCCAGAGCCAGCTCAGAGATAATGGATCTTGCAGGGGCTCTGTTTCCCAGTCCAGTAATCCACATTTCATGTGCACTCACGGAGGGAAAGATTCCATTTCCTTTTGATTTGAATTACACAGAATTTGTGTGGGACAGTTCCTGCTTCATTCTCTTTTCATTTTGAGGTGTTTTAGCTCAGTGTGGCCTTTAGGGCTAGTCTTGAAAAGGAGTTAATCTATGGGGAAAATGAGTCTAGGAATTAACAGAAAAGTGGAATCATGGAATGGTTGGGTTGGAAGAGATTTAACAGCTCATCCCACCCCTGCCATGGCCTATCCCAGGCTCCTCCATCCTGGCCTTGGACACTTCCAAGGACAGGGCAACCACAAATTCTCTGAGAATTCCAGACCACCCTCACAGGGAGGAATTCCTTCCCAATATCCCATCTAAGCCTCCTCCCTGCCGGTTGGAAGCCATTCCCCCTGAAAATTCCGTCTGTCCCTGGTTGCACTAACTCCCAACTCAGGCTCTGTGAGGGGCCCACGCACCTCTTGCAAACTGAGGCTGCACTCTTGCCCAGAGCAGAGCTTTGCTTTAAAGTGCATCTAAAAGTTTTACTTGTGGCCTTTAAAATGCATTTTGGGGTATTTTGCTGGCGCTAGAGCTGCAGTCCTTGTGTTGTGCCCCAGGCATGACGCTGAGGCCTTGCCGTGCGCGGGTGCCGCTGGCGGCATTCCGTGGCTTGGGAGTGTGTCCTGGGGCTCGGGAATGTGTCCTGGGGCTGGCCTGGTGTCCCGAGGCAGTGACAGTGCCACACCTGCCCCCTCTGAGCCCTGGAGAGCCCAGGCTCTGCCAGCTGGCCTTTGTCACCCATGCAGTCCCTGCTTGTGGGGTGGCTTTGGGGCAGAGCATCCCCGAAGGTTGTACCTCAGAGTTCCTCCTCCAGCCCCTCTGAGCAATCACCCTCTGCCCTGGAGCATGAAAATTGCTGCTTATCTTCACCTTCTGGCCCTGGCTGTGCCATAAAATCGGCTGCTTCTGGAATTATCTGCTGCCCTTTCCAATCCTGATGGATTCCATAGGCTGGGTGCGCTTGGAAAACACATTCCTCACCTTTTAACTGAACTGGAGCACTAAACCAAACGCAACGAGACATTGCCTCCAGTTGTGCTTGAAGAAATGATCATTAAACAAACCCAGGCTCGTGTTTTCCACCTCCACCTCTTTATTTGGGTTAAATTTCCTCAATTTCAGCGCTGCTTTTCATCTGGGCTGATAAAAGGAGCAGGATCAACACTCTGAAGTGAATTTCAAAGGACAAAATCACAGCTGAAGTTTAGCTTGGAGCAAAAAGACTTAACTTCAGATATTGCTGCAAATTTGAATACAAAAGTCTCTGTATTATTTTTCCTTCTTCCTTTCTTGCTGCTCTGTCAGGATTTAAGTGAAGGGGTTTTATTTTTCCATGCCATGCCCATGTTTGTGATGTGAAGCTTCCTTTTCCTTTCAAGTCCAAGAGGGGTCACGGAGGGGGCTCAGCAGCACAAATCCCTGCAGATGGGATGGGATGGGGACAGCTCTGACTTCCAGCAGCAGGAAACGTCACTTGCAACCAGCAAAGCTCCCAGGGAAAATATGCCAGTAATTTGTCTTTTATAATCTTGTACATAACCGTGAGGGAGGAGGTTTCAGACAGTGACCCTCTATTCTGGCTTAGTTCAGTCTGGCAAGGCAAGGAAGGATAAAATTGATTTTTGTTGTTGTTTTTTGTGGGTTTTTTTTTCATGTGGGGGTTCGTCCAGGTTGTAAATGCTGAGTGTTGGGATGTGAAACCTGCCTGGTGGAGCAGGGAAGCGAAAGGGAAGGGGAGTGCAGGGTTTGGTTCTGTCTTGTGGCTGCTGTGACCTTTAGGAAGGGGAACGGAACGGCTGCGTCCTCCTGGTGCTCATTGGGCTGAATTAACTCTGTGTTCCCAGCAGAAAGGCTGGGCCTGTGTCCACCCACCTTTCCCTGGGCAGCAATTTATGGGAAAAATGCAGCCTGGTATTCGTATAATGAGTGATTGTCCCAGAAAAATGCGGGGCTTGTGGGAGTTGTGTGTGGGAATCCCTGGGTGTGAGAGCCCTGCTGCACCTCAGGGACCTGGCCAGAGGGGAGCTCGGGGATGCTCCAGGGCTGGAGCCCCTCTGGATTCTGAGGGAGCTGGAAGTGTTCACCTGGAGAAGGGAAAGCTTCAGGGAGAGCTCCTTGCAGGGCCTGAAGGGGCTCCAGGAGAGCTGGAGAGGGGCTTGGGGACAAGGGATGGAGGGACAGGACACAGGGAATGGTTCCCACTGTCAGATGGGATATTGGGAAGGAATTCCTGGCTGGGATGGAATTCCCAGAGCAGCTGTGGCTGCCCCTGGATCCCTGGAAGTGTCCAAGGCCATGGTGGAATAATCTGGGCCAGTGGGAGGTATCCCTGGGCATGGCAGGGGTGGCACTGATGGGATTAAATCCCCTCCTAACCCAGACCATTCCACACTTCATGTTCAGTTTTGGCCACGAACATTATCCAGATGTTTCTGTTAGAATGTTAATGGAATTTTTATTTCTGGGCTGGCTCTGGGGTCTTTCAGGTGTCTGAGCCGCACACCCAGCTCACCAGCCAGCTTTACAATCCTGATTTACAGCCCCTTTGTGGGGATGGAGAGAAAAGTGGGTGTGGAAACAGCTTTTAGGAGCAGAAATCCAGTGAAATTCCTGTAATCCTGTGGAAATCATGGATTTAGTGCGTCTGTGTGTATGTGGCATGAAGCAAATGGAGCTTCCCTGGGAGCAAACCTTGCCCTGCAGCACAGGAAGATGTCCCTGCTTGGGATCAGGGATCCTGTGGGGATTCACATCCTCGGCCTGGGATATTTATAGCTTCAGTATTTGGAGAGAATTTCCGGTGGTGAAACCCTCAGGCTGTGCTGGAGCCCAGCCAGGAGGCAGAGCACCTCATCCCAACAGGAATGGGGGGTATTTCATGGGAATTTCCTGGCAGAAGATCTCCAATTTTTATTGATTGATTTAATTTCCAGTGCAGAGCTCCTCAAACACAAACTTCGGGTAGTTTCAAGAATTCCCCTCTGAAAAATGATTTTTTTTGTTTTCTTAGAAACAAATGTGGTTATTCACCAGTGGATTTTCTCAGGGATACATAAATATGGGAATTTTGTGTCTGGGAAGATTTAATTGCTGTATTTAGGATGTGATCAGTCCTTAAATCAGTATTTTAAATAAATCAGGGGGTCTGGCTTTGGTCTGCTGTGACTTTGCTGATGAATTCCTTTAACCACAGCAAAGCATTTCACTGATTTGATGTCTTTTTACTTGGTTTGAAAGCAAATTCAATTTAAACTTTCTCATCTGCTCCCAGGGCAGGCTCTGCTCTGTCCAGTGAAGCTCCAGCAAGTCCCAGGGAAAAGACACTCCAGGAGTGTGGGCTTCTGCACTTAATCCTCTTCCCCCTGGAAATCCCATAAGCATTCAGCTTAACTTTGCCTTTGGGAGGGATTAAATTTGTACAGAATCCCTAAGTTTTGGTGCTAAAATTGGTTCTTGGCTGGGCAGAGCCTTTAGCAGGAAATAAGTATGATTTGGTTTGGATATGGGTGTGGATTAGTCTGGAATAGGGGTGGTTTTTATTATCCCATTTCTGATGTTGTCTGATGCTGGAGTTACTCCTGCGAAAGACTAAAAAAATGCCAATTATGGAACCTCTATCCTCTGTGGGCAGGTTTTTGCCCAAGTGGGAATGTGCAGCTCCTCCAGAAGGTGTCACAGGCCTGTCTGGAAGGTAAAACCCCACTTTGTCATCTGTTAATAATATTTCTTCACAATAAAATCTGGAAATTGATACATGATGGCCTTTCCCAGTGAATTCCATACCCAGGGTGACTTAATGGCTTTATTCCTTTTTCCTAAATCCTCCCTGCCTTTGGAGAGCCCATTCCCAAGCCTGATCCCCTCATGGCTCTGTTTTTTCCCTTTCTCTCCCCGTTTTTCAGCCATCTACAACTACGAGGCCGCGCAGGACGTGGAGCTGTCCCTGCAGGTGGGGGACACTGTTCACATCCTGGAGATGTACGAAGGTAGGTGCAGCTCACAGGAGGGTTCAAAGGGAAATAGGAACAAATCAAGATTGTTATTTTCAAATTTTAGGTCGGTATTTTCAACTTCTGTTACACCCCAAAGCACAAATCTGGTGTGTAGTGGTTGCTGTAGCCCCTTAACTTTTAAAATAGTGTTGAAAATGCAGAAGTGCAGAGGATTTCTCATCTCTGTGCTGTTCCAGGCAGTGTTTATCAAGGTAAGGTTTCACCAATAATCTCAAGGCAGCACTGAAGGAGAAAGAAATGTTTAATTCTGGCTGTTTGCTGCTGTTTTCACCCCACACCTCTTTGCTTTGGCTCCTCTTTGGTCCAGGCCAGGCCTCTGTGATCATGGGATGAGCTGATCCTGCTGGAAAATAAGAATAATAATTTAAAAAAAACCCCTAGCTTTTAACCTGAATTACTTTTTGATCTGAGTGGATGATGAAAAAGCAGAGGGTAGGGCCGATTAGTTCATAATTTATGTTGTTTTGAGTTGTAATATCACAAAAAATCTTAAATCTTATCTTAAAATGCTCCAGTTATGGAGCTTCCATGCCCTTTTTAGGCTGTTTATCCCAGTCCTTCACTGGGCCATTTTTCATAATGCCTTAATGCAAACCACAAAGAAAACAAAATTCTTATTTTAAAGATGAAAATGGCACTTGAGTGTTTCAGACCTCCCTATCAAATTTGACTCTTTGACAAAGATTTCAATATTAAGACTGAAACAGAGCCATTTAATCACTTTAAGGAATGCTCAGGTCACTGCTTCCCTCTCCAAAACTTAAAGGTAAAATACAAATCAAATTACTTTCACAAGCAGCATCAATTTGAAGGAAGATTCCATGCCCAGAATTAGGGAGCTGCTCCTTTAGCAATTTGTTCTTGGCCCATTGTTCCCTTTCCATCCTCTGGATTGGGAGCAGCTCCCAATCCTGGAAATCTTATCCTGTTTTTATCCCACTGTGGTGGGGAGAGAGGGGGTAAAGGGAAATATTTCTGTGGAAATCACTGATTTATGACCTGGTTCTGCAAAAAGACACAGGGAAGAGGGAGGAAAACTCCCTCGGGAAGAGGAGGCATCTTGTACTTCCCAAAATGTGGGGAGGATTTACTTCTTTCTCCCCATTTTTAATTTTTTTTTTAATATTGTTTATCCCCTATTTCTTGTAATCAGCTTGACAGAGAGAGGAATAGGGAATGAGTACATAAATGACATCCTTCTTTTTTTATTATTATTTTTATTTTTGGCCTGAAATCTCCCAGTTTGGAGCTTTGTCAGGAGAAGATTGCCTGTGAATAGTTTGGGTGAATGTTTTCATGTGTGAAGAGGAAAATGATTGTTCTCTTTCACTGAGCCGCCAGTGGGGAACAGAAATCTGTGGCTGAGGTACCTCAGAATTCCTGCAGGGCAACAAAAAATCCCTTTTCCCAGAAAGAGCAGCCAGGAATCAAGCCAAACGGTTGTGAGTGCACAGAAGATGCAGAGATGGTGATTCTACTGTGGGTCTGGTCTAATTTCCCATCAATTCGCCTCAAACTCTCCCAATTCTGATATTCTGCCTGCCTGGGAGGAGCTTCTCGTGTCTTCCTAAATCTCTTTTTTGGGATATCAGCTCTCAGCTGTGTTCCCAGCTCTCTGTGGGTCTGTTTTTGAGGATAAATGTTCTCACAACAGGCCTTTTCTGCTCCTTCTCATGCTAATGCTGCCTGCTGATAAAAACGGGTTTTGTTCCTCTAATCACTGCTCTTATCTGGACACACAAGCCTCGACTTAGGAAGAGTTTCCATGGAACCAGGGCGGGGGCTCTGTGGGAGGATAGGCTGGAGATGCCCTGTGGAGTCATTTTTGGGGTTGGGAGATTCCCCATGAAGTAATTTTTGGTGGAGGGGGTTGGGATATGCCCTGTGAAATAATTTTTTGGGGGTTGGGACAAACCTCATTTTTTGAGGGTTGAGAAATCCCCTATAAAATAATTGGGGTTGGGAAAAGGAAGCCATGTGAAGGTGTTTTTTGGGGCTGGGAGATGCCCCGTGGAGTCATTTTTGGGTCACCTTACCTTACCATAGCAAAGGGCTTTCCTTAGGCTGTCAGTGACATTCCTTAGGGAACTCAGGGGAGTTTTGGGGTTGTCCAGAGGCTCTCATGTAGAGGTAGCAGCCCCAGGAACATCTCGCTGTCATTGCCCAGCTCAGGATGCTCAGGGGCTCACCCCATGAGTTCCCACAGCGTCCCCAGGGCTGTTGCTTCCCGGAGATCCAGAACATTCCTGCTTTTCCTGCTGTTTCCAGGCAGCAGCAGCGGGTTCCTCAGCCAGGTGTCACACATGGAAGCTCTTTGTGCTCTGGGATTTTGGCTCTGCAGGGATCCCAGGACTTGTGCTGGGATTTGCTGTAAATGTTATCTGCTCCCAGGGCTGGAGGCACGAGCCTTGTGGAGCTGAGCTGTTGCAGGGCAGGCAGAGGCAATAAAGATAATTTTGGGCAGGCAGAGGCAATAAAGGGAATTTTGGGTGTGCTTTGGGGCAGCTCTGGGCTGCACAAACCTCTCCTGAGGTGGCTCCCCAAACCCTCGGGAAGTCAGTGCAGTCAGGTGTTGCTCCTGCACTTCCTTGCAGAGCCAGGAAACTTCTTTAAATCCCAAAATCCCTGCTTGGTTGTGCTGCTGCTGCTGACCAGAGGCCTCTTGCAGAGGCTGGAATCACAAAATATCCTGGAAGGGACCCAGAGGGATCAGCCAGTGCAACCCCTGGCCCTGCACAGACCCCCCAAAATCCCACCCAGGTTGGGGGCGAGGCTCTGAGCATGCTTTGCCTCTTGTTTTTCCAAGCCCCAGTTGGGCTGGTGCAGTTGGGGTGGACATGAGCGTGCCTGAGAAGATTCCGAGGCGATCTCACCTGGGGTCACACCTGGGATCACACACAGGATGATTGATTAATTTTTCTGACCTGCAGCTCCCCTGTGCCAGGGATTCATCAGAGGGTGACACCACTGGAAATTCAGCTCCATCTTGGACAGAGGACACAGGGAAGGAGATCAAAGGGAAGCCACAGGCTGAGCAGTGTGAGCTGAAGGTTCCACTATTCCCAGTACGAGCTGATGTCCATAGAGTCATGGAATGGTTTGGATTGGAAGGGACATTAAAATTGTCCTGTCCCACCCCTGCCGTGGGCACGGACACCCTTCCGCTACCCAGGTTGCTCCAACCTGGCCTTGGACAGTTCCAGGGATGGGAACCCAGGGAAGCTTCTCTGTGCCAGGAACAATCTGTGTAGGACACCTGAGAGCTCTCACATCTCTTTTCTTAGATCCATTTCCCTTTTAAACAAATACAGCCAAAGCCTCTGCAGGGCCCAGGGCTGTCAGTTCAGGTCCAACACTTCATAGCAGGGTTTTATTTTCCCCTCCTCTCTCTGCCTGCAGAAGGGCACAAGCGTTTTGTACAAAGATTTCTCCTTCCCCTGATAAGAAGAGCACAGTGTGTGCTCCTCCCGCCTGCTGGGATTCGGCATTCTGCATGTGCTGCATAATCCAAGGAAAAGAGGGAAACTTGCTGCCTCCAGAACTTTGGAGGCTGCTCCAGTGCAGGGAGTCTGTCCTTGAGCAGGGAGCTGGGAGGACACTTTGAATTTGAGGGGAATCTCTCCTAATCTGCAGGATTTATCATTATTCTTGTTAATTGTGGTGTTTCAGGGCAGCTGTGGGAAAAGCCAGGCTGGGAGTGGATGGAGTGTGTGCTCATATACCTTGACCCCTGGCAGGTTCTGCTCCTGCTGGAAAGAAGTTTACCTTGAATTTGTTCCTGTTTTCAGTCCCCCCTGTGGAAGGTGAAGCAATGCCCAGAGTGCTGTGGGACAGGACAGGGTCCTGCAGGAGGAGGAACAGCAACCCTGTGGTCCTGCACGTGACCTGGCCTTGCATCACCAGGGAGAACTTCATCATCTCTGGAGTATTGTCCTTAGATTTTTCTCTTCCATACTGCACAAAATCCACTTAATGAAGGGTAAAATTGAGGACCTGATCCATTAAAAAACCCCAACAAAGCAGCAACCCCAAACGTCTAGCCATTTATTTGCAAGTTTGCTTAGTTTTTTGTTTTCCCTGAGATTTCACTTTGAGTGTTGGAGCAGCTAAAATTTTCCATGTCATCATCAACTGCAAAACCTTTCTCCATTTTTAGCCCATCTCTGCTTGGGGAAAACACTCAAGCACTTAAACAGTCTCTCATTCCTCTGAAGATTTAAGCAGATTTTGGTGTTTTTTTAAGGAGAAATCATGTCATTGATTGACCACTGCCCAAAGATTGATGTTGCTGTTAAAGTGATGGATAAAGTTGTTGAAAGCGGGAACAGAATTCTGACAGAAGTTGCACGAGGTGCTTGCAGAAACAGTTTTGCACAATCAGGCCAAACATGTTTTTATGCAACGATTGCAAAATATTTTACAGGAATGGGGGGAAGGCCAAGGGGCCCTTTGAAACAGGAGGAAGTTGTGCTGTCGAAGAGCTGAATGTGGGATCGAAATCCCTCCTAAATTCCATGAACTCTGTCTCCCACCCTGAGTAATTTTTGCTTTCCCCTTCAATTAATGACAACTTAGATAGAAATAGAACCTAAATCTTCTCATCCCTAATCCAGGACCTCATCCATGGCTCCATGAGCAATGGATAATCTTGTTTTCCTCCTGTAGAAAAAAACAGAGTTTCTTCTTTTCTCCAAACTTATTGCTGTAATTTTGGAGTTTTTGAGGTGGAGGTACCTCCCCATTGCTGGAGGAAGGGCATAAAACTACACTTCAGAAAATAAATGAGTGGAAATACAACCACATGCACATAAAAATCCTCAATAAAATGCAAATGAAACCATTCTAAGCTCTAATTTATGGTTACGGAGTGCCAGATCCATGGTTCTTTATGGAACTTTCTTTGATAAATATAGGAATATGGGGGGGAGCAACAATAAAAACACCAAAAAAAATTTGAAAACAAACCCAAAGAAACCAGCCTCCTCTCTCCTTTGCCTGATTATTCCCTTAAACCCCTTTGCCTTCTTGATGCTGCCACTCAGCTGGACATAATCGCCTTGGATGGGCTTTAATGTCCCTCCCAAGCCAGCCCATTCCATGGAAATCCTGGTTAAACCCCAGCTGCTGAAGCGAGGAGAAATGTTCCCTCAGAGACTTTTGTTCCTGAGGCCTGGGCAGCACAATTATTGCTTCTATCTCCCAATTTTGAGGTCTTACCAAGGTAAGATGGATAAAACAGGATTTGTACCAGCACAGGGAACTCGGCTTCTACAAACAGAGGTGTCTTCCCAAGGGTGGATCCCAAATGAGGAGATCAATAAATTGGTGTTGTAGGAAGGTGGTGAGGATTACAATTTGTATTTAATTGCTGTGAGCAGGAAATAATTAAATGTAAATATCTGTGTTTGCTTTGCCAGGCTGGTACCGAGGATACACACTCCGAAATAAATCCAAGAAGGTACGACCTCACTTTTGGGTGACTCCCATTTTAATTTTACACCTTGCCAGACCCTGTCTGGTGCTGAAAACTCCTGTTTTTCTTATATTAACATCAGACAGGACTCCTGGCCACAGTGTCCTGTCCTCAGTGACAGAAATCAGTGACCTGGAGCGGAAAGTCCAGGGTTGTGTGTTGGGTATTCCTCCACTGGAAGTGTGGGGAATGCAGTTGGAACTTCCCAAATTACCTGTTCCCATCTCCATACACGACTTTATTGCTTTATTGTGATGCTCTGGGAGCTGTGCACATCCAGCATGATTCTGTTCAATGGGAATATCAGTGTTTTGACTGGAAAATATTCCAGAAAGTACACATCCCTGGCCTTCAGCCAAGCTGCTGGAGCTTGGGCTGGAAGCTGCCTGGAAATCTGGGTTCCCCCAGGAATGTTGGCTCTTCTCATGTGGTAACATCCCCCACAGCCTCTGGTTCTAGGGGTAAAGAGGGGAGAAAAGGGAACAGAAAAGGATTACAGCATTTCCTGAAGGTTTCTCTGTAACAACAAAAATTTGGACATTTCTGTAGATGCTGGTGGTGGGAGTTTTTCTAGGGAGCACTGGGTAAGCCTGACAGAGGACTCCAGGAATATTTCATGGCAGTGACTGATAATTTTCAGGAATTTCCAGCATTTCCTGCAGGAAGATGAGGGTCATTGGAGTAAAACAAGGAATCAGCTTCTCTTGAGTTGCCAATACGGAACCTGCTGCTCCTCCCTGTGCCTTTTTTCTCTCATGCTGGGACATTTCTTACTCCTTTCCCCTGCTTTTTGTTAAATAATCTTCTTGTAATTTCCTATCCCACAGTAGAATTGATTTATTTCATTTCTCTCTATATTTTTAGGGCATTTTCCCAGAAACCTACATCCATTTAAAAGAGGCCATCGTGAAGGACCGGGGGTAGGTTGGCATTTCTTTGGCAGCGAAACCCAGGGAATTTCATTCCATTTAAACCCAAAAATAGCCAATTTAAGCAGCTGCAGTTGTCACAGACCCAGGCTGTACCTCCTGTGCTGGACTAGCACTGCATAATTGCACTTTCAGAGCACTGACAAAGTGGGGAGCAGGGGCAGCAGGAGATGATTTGCAGAATTAAGGGAGCTCTGCTGCACAGGTCAGTAGTGGGTTAGGGTCAGGAGGGTCAGTGCAGCTCCTCTGGGGACTCCTGCAAGTCGTAACAGATTCCTGCTGGCAGCCACGGGCCCAGCAGGAGTGTGGATTCCTTCCTGTCTTGGGAAACACTGGAGGAAATGACTCCTTGTTGGATTCCTCGTGCTGGGTCTGTGCTTGTTAAGTGAGAACAAAACAGCGGCTGCAAAGGAAGGAACTTTATAAAACACTTTTTAAAAAACCTCTTATTTTCAAGTTACCATTGCAAGCAGGGTTTCTTCCAAACTTAATTTCTGTCTCTTTATCCTGGGTTTGGAATGGATCCACTGGGAATAAGAGGAGTGAAAGGAGCTTGAAGCATTTTGCATTAAAAATGGATGCTGGATGTGGATGCGTGTGTTCAGAACAGCTCAAGGGTCTTGACATCATGTGCGAGGGAATTGTGTGAAAACCAACCCCTCTGAAACTTCCATTTATATGTTTATCAGAAAAGGGTGTTTTCCATTCAGTTTTAACCCTGAGTGTGAAACCTTTCTCTGATTTCCTCCATGCTCTCTCTGCAGGCAGCACGAAACAGTGATTCCCAGCGAGCTGCCGCTGGGCCAGGAGCTCACATCCACGCTGCGGGAGTGGGCGGTGATCTGGCACAAGCTGTACGTGGTGAGTTCTCCTCAAGGGCTGGTGCCTGTGCCCCAGGAGCTGAGCTGGGCTCTGCAGGGTGCTCTGGTTGGTGCAGAATGGGGCTCCCAGAGCTGGGGTGACACTGCCCTGGAGCACAGCTCATTCTGTCACCGTGCCATGGCTGGCTGGCAGTCACAGCACCCCTGGGAAATCCAGGCCCCTTCTTCCTGCTTGTGTGAGGGCAGGAAAAGCCAGCTGGGCACAAAACTGTGGAGTTTGGACACAGCTTTGGGCAGGGGGGAGCTCTGCTGTGCTGGGAATGCTGCAGGAGTCCCATGGACTGGCTGAGCCCACCCAGAGCATCCCTGGCCCAAACAGGAAGCAGGCAAAGGGGAAGAATCGGGGATGTGCTGTGGGGTGAGATGGCACTTGTCAAAAACCACATCATGGAATGTCCTGAGCTGGGAGGGATCACTGATCCAACCCTGCACATACACCCCAAAATCCCAGCCTGGGCATCCATGGAACTTTGGCAGCCTCCGTGCCCATTCCCTGGGGAGCCTGGGCAGTGCCAGCACCCACTGGGGGAAGAACCTTTCCCAAAATCCAACCTGAGCCTCTGTGCCACGGCTCCAGCCATCCCCCAGGTCCTGTCCCTGTCCCAGAGCAGGAGCTGCCCCCCAGAAGGAATTTCCTGGCTGCTCCCATGTTTGGAGCTCTCAGTAGGGTGGGGAAGGAGCTCTCATGCCCTAAATCCCTGAGCACAGGAATAGTCACCTCAGCAGTGAGGCAAGCCAAGGCACTGCAGGGATTTGAGGGTTGTCCTGCAGCGGATGCTTCTTGCTCAAAGAAATGAATCCACAGTGAGGAGTTTTCTTTTAAAGGCACTTTAAGGAGTCAAACTTGATTTTTCTCTGAGCAGTAGCGAGTTCAGCCTGCACAAAATGTGCTCCAGCGCTTTAATTAAGAAGAGGGAGTGAGTTTAAATGAGCTTCAATCACCCAGAGCAAGTTTTCCTATTGGAAATTTCACCAGGCCACAAATATGTTGTGTTTGTGTGCCACGAAACCACAAGAATTTGTTCCACCCTCTCAATTTAATGAGCTCCTCTACGTGATGGTATTACTGTGTGAAAAGAGAGTTTTGTTCCCAGCATTTTTTATTCCTGAATAACTTTCAGATCCCAGCCTCAGAATCTGCTTTTTTAACGAGCAGAAATCTTTCATGTTCCTGTGCTTAACCACTATAAGTCTTAAAATAGTTTTGGAAAATGTTGTGGTTTAAAATGGATTTGAGTTTATTTTATTTTCCCTGCAGTACGTATTAAAAGAATTTTTTTAAAAAGCTAAGGGAGGAAGGGAGGCATTTGAGGAGAAAAAGGAAACATGAGGGGATTTTTTTATTTTGGCAGCATTTAATTTCACTTCTTTAATTTATGCGGGTTTCATTGTAGCTGTGGCTTTATCACCACTGCAAAATAAATACAAAAATGGAGGGAGTTTTTAATTGGTTGCTGTAATAGGAATTAGCTGTGGAGATAACTCAGGTCAAATTGAGGTCTGCTCTGAAAATTCCCACAAATTGCCTCTTCTTTGCAAACTTTTTACACAAGAACATGTTTTTTCTGTGTGTATTAAATATATCTCAAATATTCTTTCTATAGAGCTAAAAACTCAAGTAGCCCCTGCCAGTACCTTGGTGTTCACCCAGATCAAAGGGAGGATTGTTTTCATACCTTTAAATCGGAGGGAAATAGGAGTAGTTTATATCATTGCTGTTCATTGCAGAGATGAGGATGAGGAAATAATTGCATTTAGGTTCTTTTTGTGCTGTGTGGGAGCAGGGGGGGGTTTGTAGCTCACCATTAACAGCTCTGGTCCCAGTGGGGAAAATGTGACCCAAACATCCTGGGGCTCTCAAACCCCAGGGAAAGCTCTTAATGCAAAACCAGGCCCTGAATTCAGTTTACATTCTTCCTTTGGAGCTGAGTAACTCAATCCCTGTCCCAGTGGCTCCAGATCTGTGGCACTTCTCTGTGAGAAGAGTTGGAATCCTCCCAGGAGCTGCCCCATTGTGGTGGCAGAGGGAGATCGAGGCCTGGGCTCTCTTTTCCATGGTTTAAATGTCTTCCCTGGCACTTTGAAAAGCGAATTTACTTATCTAAGCGCACAAACAGGGTGGGCTGCCACGTATCCATGTGTAATTACAGCCTTGGAGCCGCAGGAGCAAGGTGTGGGGACGACTGGTTTTATGAAGGTGGAAGCAGCAAAGGGCGTGGGAAGTGTTTGCATTAATTAGAGATGATAACAGAATGAATGGCAGAAGGGGACTCGTCACCAGGCAGGTTTTGATGTCTTGTTCAGTGTCCTCCTTCAGTTGTTAAGATAGTTTCTCTTTCATAAAAAGCCTCCATCAGAACAGTCTGGAAATGCTGGAAAGCACCAGAGGTTTTTCTGAAATAATGTCCCAGGGAAAGGTAAAGCCCTTAAAGACACTTAAAGATCTTAAAGGCACTTAAAACTTCGCAGTGCCAAGTGCTGCAAAATTTACTGCATGGCTCTTGTGGTGTCACAAAGTGCCAGGTATTTTTAGTTAAATAAAACTGGTGTGGTTCTGCAGTTGCACACATTTCAGAAGGGTTGCTGAGCTAAGGTTTCCAGGTTTTCCTTGATTAAAATTGCCCTTTTTCTTTTTCCTTTTTTTGCCTCAGAACAACAAAACCACGCAGTTCAGGCATGTCCAGCAGCTCACCTACAGCCTGATAGAGTGGAGATCCCAAATCCTCTCCGGGACTTTGCCCAAGGATGAACTCGCTGAGCTCAAGAAAAAAGTCACTGCCAAGATTGACTATGGCAACAGGTGAGCTCCAAACTCTGCCTGGAGAGCAGGGGAGGCTCCCAAACCCCCGGGAAGGCTCTTAGTGCAAAACCAGGCCCTGACTTAGGCTTAAATTTTTCCTTGGAAGGGGTGAAATGGCAGCTTTGAGTCCCTGTGACAACATGGCCACCTGGCAGGTTGGTTCTCAGTGTGCCACAGATCTCTGTGGCTTGGCAGGAATTCTCTCTTCATTCTGCACAGATCCTGGCATGGGGCGGCCTTTCCGTTGGAGCAGAGCTTGTGCCTGGATTTGGATGCTGGTGGGGAAATGCTCTGCTTTATCAGCAGCTGAGGGCAGGATTCCACAGACACTCCAGACCTCAGTGGTTTGCAGTCTCCAGGACCCATTTTTCTGCCTGTCAGCTGTGACTGAGGTCCAATAAGTGAATTAAGAAGCCAGTGGGAGAGAATAACAATCAGCTGCAATCCATGAGCTTGGTAGATATTCATCCACCTTTGAAGGAAAGCCATTTAGGCAGGAATAAGGGAGATGTCAACCTAGGATTGAGTTACCTGACTAATTCCTTCTCCCATGAATGGGAAAATGGGAGAGAAGGTTTTTTAAGGCAGGAAAACCAGCAGTGAGTGAGGTTATTCCAAGGAGTGGGATGTTGAACACAGGCAGTGATTTGGTCTTTGCTGCTCCCACATTCTTGCATTTTTTTGTCTCCTGGGGCTGTCCAGGATCCTGGGTCTGGACCTGGTAGTCCGAGATGACAACGGGAACATCCTGGACCCAGATGAGACCAGCACAATCTCCCTCTTCAAGGCCCATGAAACTGCATCCAAGAGGATTGATGAGAGGATCCAGGAGGAAAAGGTAGCTCTGGTTTTCCCTCTTCGGTCACTGTGTTTTTATATTCCCCTTAAGGCTGTGCTCCCTTGGCAGCAGAACTAAATTCTCCTGTGTTTGTAACAGAAATATAAAATTTAATGGAAAATGTGAAATTCTTTACAGTCCCTTCAGCAGAGTTTGGACCTCCGGGGGCAGCCAATATTCAACTCCACACACACTTACAGCCTCTATGTGAACTTCAAGAACTTTGTCTGCAACATTGGGGAAGATGCAGAGCTGCTGATGAGCCTCTATGACCCTGACCTCTCCAAATTCATCAGGTGAGTGCTGTTTTGGAGATTCTTAAGCAATTTAGTCATCAGGGTGTTAGTTCTGAAGAAGCCAGTGGGTTAGAAAGGGAGATCCAGCAGAAGTTTTCCAGTTCTGTTGTTGGTTGCTGCCCCAGTGGAGGAAAATGAATTCTAAAAACTTCAGGATGAATTTCAGAGAGATAGGAAGTCCAGGCAGTGTCCTTCCTAAAGCTGGGTATTTCTTTGATCCCACATTGTCCTTTTTGTATCTTAATTTTCCCTGCTGTGGCTGCAAGCCTTGGTTAAGCATTTTATTAATTGTTTTTCAGTAAATCAGGGATTTAAATGGTGTTTGCTGTCCAGTTCACATCTGAAGAGGTGGGGAGGATATGAGGAACTTAATCAGGGAGGCAGTTCCGTGTCAGGAACACTCTGTGTCCAGCACTGCAGTTATCAGGTGTGGCTATGCCGTGGGAATTGGCCAGGGGAGCAGCTGCCAGGGCTCACCCCATCCTGCCTCCAGTAAATGAGTCACTTCAGAGGCATTTTGGGATAAAAGATGGGTCAGATTTTCCTCAACGATCAGAATGCTTTTGTGCTTTTGCCAGGAAATGGAGGCGTCAGGTGTTGATTTGTTAAAATTGACTTTTTCTCCCTTTCTTTGCAGTGAAAATTACCTGGTCCGTTGGGGCAGCAATGGGATGCCAAAAGAAATTGAGAAACTGAACAACCTCCAAGCAGTGTTTACTGTAAGTTCAGAGAATCCCAGATTGGGTTGGGAGCTGAATCCCATCCATTCCCACCCCTGCCATGGCAGGGACACCTCCCACTGTCCCAGGCTGCTCCAACCTGGCCTTGGGCACTTCCAGGGATCCAGGGGCAGCCACAGCTCCTCTGGGAATTCCATCTCAGCCCCTCCTCAACCTCACAGGGAAGGATTTCTCCCCAGTATCCCCATCTATCCCTGCCTTCTTGCAGTGGGAAACCGTTCTCTGTGTCCTGGCACTATAAATGTCTCCATCTCCCTTGTGGTCTCCCTGCAGATCCAGAAGGCCACAATTTTTACCTGTGTATAGCCCAACAAAACCCCTTCCTTTCCCCTTCCCCTTCCCCTTCCCTCCCCCTTTTTCTCCACTCACAAAGGACATTGATGGAACTCAATTTTAACTCTTCTTTTTTCAGGACTTGAGCAGTTCTGACCTGATCCGGCCCCGGATCAGCCTGGTGTGCCAGATCGTGCGTGTGGGGCGCATGGAACTGAAGGATGGCAAGAAGCACACCTGCGGGCTCCGCAGGCCTTTCGGCGTGGCAGGTGGGGACTGCCTCCCCGGGGACACCCAGGAAAACCCCTGGGGGGACTGGGATACAGGTCTGGGAGCTGGGAAATGTGCTGGGAAATGTGCCAGTATCTCTGCTTCAGGGCAGATTGTCCCTTCCGAGATCTCTCGTGAAGGTTCTGGCTGGAGAGTAAGTGCTCGCTGCTGGCTTTTAACCTCTTTTAACCTGTTAAACTTAAAGGTTTGTTAACCTTTTAACAGGCTGCCACAGCTGCAGCAGGCTCATCAGGGCCTTATCAGAGTGGGATTTGCTCCTCAGGGCTCATGGAAGATTTTAAAGGAACCTTAGTGAACCAGACTCCCAATTATTATTTTTATTATATTATTATATAATATATATTTATATATTATATTATATATATAATAATATAATAATATTATTATATTATTTTATTATGTTATTTTATTCCTGGGATTTCTTGTGAAGGGACTTGCTTGAAAGCCTTGGTGGGAATCGATTTCCAAAGAAGCAGCATTTGGATACAAGTGGAATTTCTTTGCCTTGAAGTGCCTCAGTCCCACCTGGTTTTTCTTGGAGGGTGTATTTTGTCAGAGTGTATTCAGTATATTCACACTCACTGCTGTGGGCTGACCTGCACATCAATGTAAATGTGCTTTTAAAAGAATTAAAATGAGAGTGATGCCCTCCATTGCTGTCACAGGATTCCAGGTCTTTCTGGGGTAGGAAATAACCTTAAATCCCATCCAGTTCCACCCCTGCCATGAACTCCTTCCTATCCCAGATCACTCAGAACCCTTGTTCTGAGCAACACTGGCCCAAAATAACCCCTTGTTGTTTCCATTCTGAGAGGGGAAAGCTCTCTCTGGGTTCTTGGCAGATCTGAGCGATGCTCTGGTGTCGTTGCAGTGATGGACATCACTGACATCATCCACGGGAAGGTGGACGATGAGGAGAAGCAGCATTTTATCCCCTTCCAGCAGTGAGTACCGTGCTCCAGAGCTCGCAGCACCTCTGGCTAAAGCCCTTCTTTTGGGAAGGACAGATCTGTCTGGGTGCCTGGCAGAGCCCCAGGGGCTCTACAAATAGATCAGCTGATAGCAGCAGTCAGCTCTTTGCAGGGAGAGGTTTCTGTCACCCCCAGGAGCCTTTGTTCCGTTTTCATGGCTCTGTGACAGACTCCATTGCCTAGGGACTTTGGCAGTGCAGCTGGAATTTCTGGGTACCTTCGGGGTGAGGAAGAGGAGCACAGAGCAAAATAGTGTCCTGGGGCCTGGGGGGATGTGACATGCAGAATTTTTGGGGGGGTGCAAGGCAGGATTTTCGTCGAGACTGAGCAGAGACACTGAGCTATTTGTCACTGCTGCCCCTCCCTTCCCACATTGCCTTGTCTGGGTCAGTCATAGGGAAGGGATTCCTCCCTCTTCCCGGGGAAGAAATTCCAGCCCTGATGAGATCTGCATTTCTGCTCTGAGAGTTAGACTTGTGTGTTTGTTCTGCCTGCTCTGCTTGCTCACTTTTTTTTGGCACATGAGAGTAACGAAAACTGAGCTTGTTTGGGTAGAGCCAGCCTTGTTGTTACAGCCCTAAATACAGAAAAGCATTGGCTGCGGCCTTTTGTTGTTACAGGGTATTTTTGGGAGACATTTGGGTTTGTTCCCCTTCCCTTTTTTTTTTTTTTTTGCTTGTTTGTTTGATTTGGTTTTTGTTTTGTTGGTTTGGGTTTTTTTCCCATTTTATTTCTGCTCTAATGAGGCTGAGTTCTGACCCCCAGCTGGACACCAGGCTGGGCAACCTGTGGAGACCTCATTTCTCCTTCATTATTGAGGCTGTGGGTACAGGAGTGAAGTCAGGGTCAAGGTCCAAACCTCAACAGTCTTGTTTGTGACTGGGGATGGGTTCATCACTTAGGAGTTGTCACAGCAGTCATTAATTTATATTAATTTATAGTACTTTTCCAATAGTTAATCTGCACAGGGGCAACTCAGAGGCAAACTTGAAGTCAGGGCTTAAATCCTGAGGTCAGTGTTCCTTACCTTAGGCCTGAGGGATAAACTGATTCATCTCCTAATGGGAAGGTTTAAAAGGATTTTGTGCAGGTGAAGGAATGAAAATCCCATTGGAATCCTTGAAAAAAACCCCACATTTATTTGGTAAACAGCCGGCCGTTGGCCAGCCCTCTCCTTGTATGTGGTTGGTGTCTGTCCCAGTCCCTGACCCCGTTTTATTGGGTCCCCTGCCCAGGATTGCCATGGAGACCTACATCAGGCAGCGCCAGCTCATCATGTCCCCCCTGATCACCTCCCATGGCATTGGCGAGAACGAGCCCCTCACCTCTGTCTTCAACAAAGTCATCGCCGCCAAGGAGGTCAACCACAAAGGCCAAGGTGCAGCCTGGGGGGAACCCGGGCTGGGAGAGTTCCCAGGGGAATAAATGGGTGCTGAAAGTCTCAAGATCAAGGTTTGGTGTAGTTTAATCCCTTCCCCGAGCCCAGTGCGTTGTCACTTTGTCCCTCCATCACACACGGAGCTAAAATCAAAGTGAAACCAGACAAAACTTGCATGAGAGCAGCTCCTCACTTGCTAGTCATGTGTTTAAGGTCACTTTAAAATAAAAGTGTTTTATGGATGTGAAATATTTGTAAGTGGATGTGGCTGTGTGTCCCAAATGGCTTTGGGGTTAAATCACATTATTTTGGATTTTTCTGGCCTTCCTTGGCTCCAAGACACTCAAGATTCATCTCTGAAAGTTCAGGGTTTACTTCAGAGAATCTTCTTGCCCAGCAAAGCCTTACTCAGATTCAGTGACATGGAGAACTGGGCAAGAGAGAACCAGATGGGGACAAGGAGGTTTCATGAAAACACAGATTTTTTGGAAGGACAGGCTTAAATTTCACAGGTTTGTACCTTTTTGTTTTCAGTGAACAAGTGTCATTTCCCTTTTCTTAGGTCTATGGGTCTCTCTGAAGCTGCTCCCTGGGGATCTGGCTCAGGTTCAGAAGGATTTTTCCCACCTTGTAGACAGATCCACTGCAGTGGCTCGAAAAATGGGGTTCCCTGAGATCATCCTTCCTGGTAGGTCCCATGTGCCTCCACATTCCATGGAGTAAAAGAGGTGCTTAAACCCTAGATTTTCTCTCCCCAAAGGATTTATTTATTTAAAAAAAAATAAAAAAAATAAAAAAAATATAAAAATTTCTTTTTATCTGAAAACTTTTTATTTTTCTTCAAATTTCCAAGTTATTTTCTTATTTTTTTTTTGTCACAAGCAGTTGAAAACATGAGTTTCCTTTCTTATGGCAAAATGATGGTTTATGGAGAAAATGTCTCTTTAGTCAAAGGAATTTTAGTTGTGTAGGGCTTTGACCCACCCATTCAGAGTGGATTTAACCCTAGAGAGCTTGTTAAATAAAAAAGAAACAAAAGAGAACATAGGGACAGAGGTTTGTAGAAAGAAAAATGGTTCATTTTAGAAGATTTTGTGTCATTTGAGATGGAAATGTAAATGGTGCGATGGTGGGTGTTGTTAATTAAAGGCTGAAAGGAAAACAAGGATAACATGGTACCCAGGGGCATTAACTGTTAACCTGGGAATGAGAAAGGAGCTCATGAAACGCTGGGAATTGCAGGTGACGTCCGGAATGACATCTACGTCACCCTGATCCAGGGCGAGTTTGACAAAGGCAAGAAGAAAACCCCCAAGAACGTTGAGGTCACCATGTCCGTGCACGACGAGGATGGCAACCTGCAGGAGGTAGGACAGCCTCTGGCACCCTCTGGAGATTTACCACCAAAAACACTCCAGATTTACCTTTCTCCCCCACCTGTGCCTTGTGTGTTTTGTCCAAAGAAAGCCATCCACCCCGGGGCTGGCTACGAGGGAGTCTCGGAGTACAAGTCTGTGGTTTATTACCAGGTCAAGCAGCCCTGCTGGTACGAGACTGTCAAGGTACGGCTCTGTCCGTGTTCTTCCTCCGGGCACAAACCATTGCTGGTGTAAAACCAGCAGCTCCTCAGCTCCAGGATGTGCTGGGGAGTGCCTGGGGACAGGGGAAATGCTGTTTCCATCCCATTCTCCCTTGCAGGTAGCCATTGCCATAGAAGAAGTCAGTCGCTGCCACCTGAGGTTCACGTTCCGTCACCGCTCATCCCAGGAGTGTGAGTACCAGGAAGGGACTCACCTGCAGGATCGCTGTGCTCCTCCCACTGATTGCAGAACTTGCATTTCTGCTTTGTCACTTATTGCTGGGTTTACTTATTCCCAGTTTTGTGGCAAGCAAAAACCCAAAAATCATTCAAATTTTTTTCACCCAAAGTTTGGTGCAGGTTTTGTCCTGAAACTGAAATTTGATAAGGAGCCACATTTTATCCTCCCTAAAAAGGCAATTACCAATGTTTGTTATTGCTTTGGTTTCTCAGTGTAGGGTGTTGCTTTCAATTTATTTCACAAAATTCACTACAAGGCCTGGTGGGCTTGTCTTGATCTTCCTATAGGAGGATTTCTATTTAGGCTAATGAAAAGCTAATGAGAGGGTTGGAGCCAGAAGTTCCATCAAATCACTTCAGAGCCCTGAAATGAGATCAATAATGTGAGGCTCAGCCACTGAAAGGCTCTCAAAGGCTTCTGGTTCTGAAGGCAGTGACATCCTTCCACATCCACAGCTCACAAACCAAACTCCCAACCAAAAATATCTGTAGAATTCAATATCAGAGGATTGTGGAATTGTTAAGGTTAGAAAAGACCTGGAAGACTAAGGAGTCCAACCATTAATCTCTCGGTGTATCAGCACAAAAACCACTAAAATTGTGTGTGGGAGATGCTCCAGGAGGATGTGTTTGTGCAGCTGCAGTTACCTGTTAAATAAAATGAAGTTACCAGTTAAATAACTCAGCTGATAGGGTTAGAGGGCTGCATTTTGGATTGTGTGGACACGAATAAGACAATTGCTGATGAAGATTTCTCCTGTTTGCAGCCAGAGATAGGTCTGAGAGAGCTTTTGGCATGGGCTTTGTGAAGCTGATGAATGCAGATGGAACAACGCTGCAGGATGGCAAACACAATTTGATAATTTACAAGGTAACCTGGGCATTTCCAGCCTTGTCTCATATTTAACTCATCAAAACTCTCCCCTGGCTGATTTTCCAAGCAGTAGAAAGCTACAGAATGTGTGTGGGGGGTGGGAAATCCTCCTAAACTCCGTGGCTTTTCAAATAGCTTAGATCATTTGTAGTAGGGACAGCTTATCCCTGAAATCAGAAACTCAAGCAATGAAAGAGATGAAGAAGTGTTTCAAACCCCTTCTGTCTGTCACTGTGTGACCCTTCTCTCTGCTGTGTCCATCCAACAGGGTGACAACAAGAAAATGGAAGATGCCAGGAGTTATTTGACCCTTCCTTGCACCAAAACAGAGATGGAGGAGAAGGAGGCTCCCTCAGGAAAAAACCTGCACCCTCTGGCCAACTTCACTCCCACCAAGGACAGCACCAAGGACAGCTTCCAGATCGCCACTGTCATCTGCTCCACCAAACTCACCCAGAATGGTAAGGCTCGTTCTGGGGCTCTGAAATACACAGGGCATTTTCTTCAGGCAGGTTTTTGTGTGTGGGCAGAGAGCTTCAGGTTTCATTTTGCTGCTCACGTGTCAGTGGCAGCCCTGTCCTGTCAAGCTGCCAGAACAAGCTCCCAGAATGTCTGTGCAAGCCTTTCATGCAAATATTTGATCCAGACTGCCAACGTTAAACCCAAAAAGTTTGCTGGCACGCGTGGAAATGTCACCTGTCACTGACAGTGTCTGTGTTTTGTCACAATTTTAAATATTTAAGGTTGATTGCCTCCTTTCCTCTGCCTGTTAAGAGAGCAGCAGTTAGGACTGAGCTCTCCAAGGTGACGATGTGCAGTAACTCTGCTGTGCTGCCGAAGGGGTCACAATGAGGAGAGATATGTGCACGAGCCCAGCCTGTGCTGGTAAATGATGGGAGACTTCCAGTAGCTCTGGAAGGCTCCTGGGCTAAGTCATGCACTCTAATAAAATTCCTGGCTTGAGATACCTGCTCTTGAGTCCATAAAATCTCTTGCAAAATGGTCTCCAAATGTGCTGTCGGATGGCAGCCAGGTTTCCATTTATAGCAGAGCTTCTCTCTCGTGCCAAGACAAAAGAAACACCTCAAGGTAACGTTCTGTACCTGAGGGTGACTTTTCCTTGTGTACTGACTCTAAAAATAACCCCCAGCATTGCTGGGGGTTGCTCTGCAGCCTTGCAGGCAGCTGGAAGCTGTAATTGCTGCTTTGTGTCCTTGCAGTTGACCTGCTGGGTTTGCTGAACTGGCGCTCCAACTCCCACAACATCGCCCACAACCTCAGGAAGCTCATGGAGGTGGAAGGAGGAGAAATTGTGAAGGTATTCCCAGGGATCTGAGGCTCCTTGGCACACAGACTCTTGTGTGTTGGACCCAAAAACTGTTTGTCTGGGTTGGAAAGCAGGTCTGGTGCTGAGCAGTGGGAGAATTGTCAAATCATGGAATGGTTTGGCTTGGAAGGGACCTTAAAATCAGCTTTTTCCACCCCCTGCCAAGGGCAGGGGTACCTTCCACTGTCCCAGCTTGCTCCAGCCTGGCCGTGGACACTTCCAGGGATGGGGCAGCCACAGCTGCTCTGGGAACTTCTGTTCCACCTCTCATTAGTGGAATTCACCAGAATTACAGAAGTTAAATATTACAGGGATCAAGGAGAGGGTGGTGACTTTATTTTCCCCTTTATCCTTATGAAATAAGAAATACATCCAAAGCCTAACTTTTAATTTTCAACTCCTTTGTGAATGAGGAGGAACTAGCTGTGAATCTGGGAGCAGAGACAGCCCAGAGATCTCATAGAATACTGCAGGGAGTGGGCCAGAAATGGTGGCATTCCCGCAGAAGATGGTCTGCTGAAGGATTTGGGATGAAATCTTACCTGCAGAGAGGAGTCCCAAGAGTGACTGTGCTGGGATTGTGCAAGGCTATGTTCTTCTGGAGCAGCTGAAGGTGAAGTTGGTGCTGTGTCACTGCAGACAGGCTGAGTTCAGTGGCACTCGGGACAGGGCCAGGCTGCTTTGGAAACATCAGCATTTTTATCCTGTGGGCTGAAAAGGCCATAAAACAGCAAAGTGGGGCTGTTCAGAGCTGAGGAGAAAAGATCTTCTTTACTACAGAGCCGATCCTGACAATCCTGTGCTGGAACACAGGGCTGGGTTCCCTTTTAGACGTTTTCCATGGACAAGTTTTACAGTCAGCTGGACTGGACGGGGAAGAACAATCCAGCTCATGCTCCTGTGCAGGATGCCAGCAGCAGCTACCTTTCCCCACCCTTTCACTGTTCCTTTTCCCCTCTAGTTTTTGCCAGACACCCTCGATGCACTTTTCAACATCATGATGGAAATGTCAGAAAATGAAACCTATGATTTCCTGGTGTTTGATGCCCTGGTGAGTGAATCTTTGTTTTCAGCCACATTCCCAGTCTGTTCCTGGTGATTCCAATGAGCAATTGGTATTTTGCTCTTGAAATAAATGATATTTAAGCACTTCTTACGGCTTTTTCAGGAGCCAGGACTGAAATGCACATCAAGTTTTTAGCAGCCACAGTGAAAAGAGTAGTAAATTGCACACACACAGTGTTTAGTGACTGTTAAAACATGAATAACACTCTCTGTAGCATTAATGCTGTTGATAAAACAGAAACGATAACCCAGCAAAATAAATGGAATTAGAGACTGTTCTATTTGAGTTACTGTGCAGCTCTGTGCATCTGTCTCCTTCTGGATTTTTGGCAGGTATTTATTATTTCTCTGATTGGAGACATCAAGTTCCAGCATTTCAACACCGTGCTTGAGACTTACATTTACAAACACTTCAGTGCAACCCTGGCCTATGTGTGAGTATTGATCCTAAACCTCAGGTGTTACCCAGCAGTGTGACTGAGGGCTTTGGGGATGAGATCAGCTCATGCTGATGTATTTGATGAGGTAATTTTTGATGATGTGAATGTGACAAAGGCAGCTGAGAGCAGAGTTCCATCCTTTCTCTGCATTCAGGAGAGAAAGAATCCTTCTTATTGCTCTTTTTGCCCTGTAAAAAATCCTGGTGTGAGATTTTTTTTCTGTCAAAGCAGACAGAAAAGACACTTCTATCATGGGTTTCCATCTTTCCAGCCCCCTGATCAAGCACCCCTCAGGCAGAGGTCATCACCCTTGTGGTAACAGAAACGAAAAGTCAAAACCAGAAACCAAACTGCTTTTCCTCTCTAAGAATCTCCCCTCAGTTTTTAGTGATCCTCATGAATTCCTGGCTGTCACCCTAATGGAAACACAATTTGAAGTCCCCTTCTCCTGGAACACCTTCTTCCCTTCCCTTCCATGCAATCAATGCTTCCACACTATTTTCTTGTCTCCTCCTGCTCCGCACCTGGCAATTCTCACACGGGGAGAAGGCCTCAGCCCCTTCTCCTGGGAATGGGTTTTGCAGCTTCCTGGACAGCTCCTTGTAGGGCAGAAGAAAAGCAGAGTGAGAGGGTAGAATCTGTAGCCTTTCAGCCCATGATTTCAGGAGGAAATGGGCTGTGAGAAGGAGCTCTGGTGTTTTTGGGGCTGCAGTATCTCTCTGAACTGAGCCATGCCTGTATCAGTTCCCCTCTTGGGTTTATCTCCAAAGGAAACTCACCAAAGTCCTGAACTGCTACGTGGGGAATGCTGAGGACTCCAGCAAGACAGAGCTGCTCTTTGCAGCCCTGAAAGCCCTGAAATACCTGTTCAGATTCATCGTGCAGTCGCGGGTATTGTACCTGAGGTGGGTTCAGCCCTTCCCTTCCTGGGCCTCCTCTGGGAAACCCACTGGAGTTTCTTCAAGTAAATATCACTAAAGGGGATATTCTTCACCAAATCCTCTATCACTGACTGATTAAGAGGATCTTTCTGCCTTTTGTCTGTGGCTGGAACAAATTAATTGAGCAAAAATTAAAATACCAGATTAGAAAAGAGAAAAACCTTTTAGTTGCCCCTAGCATGCAGCAAGCAGGTTATGGATGAGCTGAAAAAGAACCAAATACTTGTTTTTATGAAGCAAATAATGGAATTTCTTCCTCATTTTCAGAAACTTTAAGAAACAAATACACAGACACTTAAATTATTCTCCAGTTGGGGTAAAATCAATGACAATGGTTTAATTGCAGTTTCAAAACATCTTTCCAGAGATACACAGTGAGGGTTTGAAACCCTTTATTCTGGATTATTTCTGGCCATTCTGGATTATTTTCCTGTTTAATGCTGGGAACTCAGGCAGAATTTGCTGCAGTGGCAGCCTAAAAAATGCAATTTTCCCCCTACAACAGATTCCAGCAGGAAATGACTGCAAAATCTCCAATTCCATTTTTACCCCCATGTCTTTGTAGAGGGAGATGCCATTAAGATGTTGTTCCACAGGATGAAATCCTGTTTCAGCTGCTGGATTTCTGTGTGTAACTGGCCCTGTTCTTTGCAGTGTTTATGGGAAAAGTGAGGATGGGAATGAATTCAATGATGCAATTCGCCAGCTGTTCCTCTCCTTCAATATCCTCATGGACCGGCCCCTGGAGGAGGCTGTCAAGATCAAGGTGAGCAGGATTTCCAGGGAAAAGTACAAATCTTTAATTAGATCAACTGGTGCAGTTGGGAAGGGGCTGGGCCAGAAAAAAGAATGAGAGAATTACCCATTAATCCCTCTTCCTCCTCCACCTTTCCCACTCTGCACTGCACATCTGGGGTGGCTGGAAGCTCTACAGATGCATAAATTTGATTTTAAACCAGTTCTCTGCAGTTATCCCCATATTTGCTTTTGACAAAAACGCTGTTTCCCATGTGCATTTCATGTCCTTAGTTTCTTTCTTCTTTCAGGGGGCAGCTTTGAAGTATTTACCGAGCATCATCAATGATGTCAAACTGGTATTTGACCCCGTTGAGCTCAGGTAACTGTGTTAAGTTTGTTTGTCCTCTAAATCCAGCTCATCTGGTGGGAAGAATTTTGGAAACTTGGCTAAAAAAATGCCACTCTGGTTAATGGTGCATGGACCCGAGGAAGTGCTTGTAGAGCTTGAAAGGAAGTCAGTGGAGTTCAGAGCATTCTGTGCATCCCAGTTTTTCATTCTGTGAGTGTCCGAGGCCAGGTGAGACAGGTGACCAGGGATAGTGGGAGCTGTCCCTGTCCATGGTGGAGCTGGGTGATTTTATGCTCCCTTCCTATCCAAACCATTTTAGGACTCTGGGATCCTTACAGGCACATTGAGATTTTACTGAAAAGCGAAATCTGAGGGCAGTGAAGCATTGAAATCTTGCACAAGTTTCCACTGGTTCTTGGTGAATGCTTCTTAAAGTGTGGCAAAGGCAGAGCCTTAGCTGGGAAACCAAAAGCTGTGTTTATCCAGGAAATTATCAGCCCTAAGGGTTCCTGGTTTTGGTGCTCAGAGCTTTGACCAGAGCTACCCAGCCCTGTCTCCATGTCCTGACACAAGTGATTTGCTGGGAAGCAGCAGACAGGCAGCAAATGCCCACGGAATTTAATTTTACGGGAATCTCAGGTTGGAGTGAGTCATCACTCCTGATGAAGGGGGCATCTGGAAGGAGGATGTGCCTTAGCAGCTGTGGTTGTTCCAAGTTCCACCTGTGGGCTGCTGGGTCAGTTCAAAATGAGTCTTTCCAAGCTCTTGCTTTCCCTGGGTGTAACAGCCAGTGTGATTATCCTGCCTGGCACTGGAGGGACAGAGCAGTGCCTGTTTAGAGGGTTTGTGATACACCTGCTGTGTCCTGGAATAAAAGCTTAATTTCAAGAGGTTTAAGCCTGCAGTTCTTGAACACTTCTCAGTTTTACTTCCAAGTCCTGTGCTGAGTTTCTTGAAAATAACTCAGGGCTCTGTAGTAATTTGCCTGTTGGATGGAATTCCCAGGGAAGCTGTGGCTGCTCCTGGATCCCTGGAAGTGGCCATGGCCAGGTTGGAGCACCCTGGGCCAGTAGGGAGGGGCCCCTGCCCATGGCAGGGGGTGGAGTTGATGAGCTTTAAGTCCCTTCCAAGCCAGCCCATTTTGGGATCCTGTGATTCCATGCCTGGCCCAGGTGCAGGGCAGTGTCCGTGTGGGATGGATGGGCTGATGCTGGGTGGGAATGCTGACCCTCTGCTTCCTCTGGGCTGCCCACAGCGTCCTCTTCAGCAAGTTCATCCAGAGCATCCCTGACAACCAGCTGGTCCGGCAGAAGCTGAACTGCCTGACCAAGATCGTGGAGAGTGACCTGTTCAAGCAGGCTGGTGAGTGGTGAGAAGGCTTTGGGTTCTGCCAGGGGCCACATGCCCTTCAAAACGAGTTCTCCTGCCAGTCAACAGGGGCAATCCATCATTAAATCCAGCTCTAGAAACATTCCAGTCATCAGGGCAATCCACCATTAAATCCAGCTCTAGAAACGTTCCTTGCCATGGAAGACCTGGAGGAGTTTTTTGCTGTTCAGTCATTCTACAGTGCCCAGGATGTGGGATCCTGGTCCAGGGTGGGGGTTTAGAGGGACAGAGAAGCTGAGTGTGCTGTTTGATGGAATATGCAGAATTTATAAACGAGAGGGTGGGGTTAGATGGGATATTGGGGAGAAATTCCTCCCTGTGAGGCTGGGGAGGGGCTGGGATGGAATTCCCAGAGCAGCTGTGGCTGCCCCTGGATCACTGGAGTGCCCAAGGCCAGGCTGGAGCAGCCTGAGGCAGTGGGAGGTGTCCCTGCCATGGCAGGGGTGGGGATGAGATGATGTTTTTGGTCCCTCCCAGCCCAGCCCATTCTGTGATTCCATGATTCATGTGACTCTATCCAGTCCGTTTTGTTGTAACTCCAGTGGCTTTAGGCAAGTCCTGGTGTCCCGGCTGGGATCAGGAGCAGGACACTCCTTTCAGGTGCCCATGTCCAGGGCGTGCTGAGGCTCTGCTCTATCCCTGTGTCCCTTTGCAGAGTGCAGAGATGCCCTCCTGCCCCTGCTCATCGATCAACTCAGTGGGCAGCTGGATGACAACTCCAGCAAGCCTGACCACGAGGCCAGCTCCCAGCTCCTGAGCAGTGTCCTGGAGGTCCTCGACCGTAAAGATGTGGTGAGCACGAACTCAGGAGTGCTAGCTCAGCTCAGTTCTTTTGAGAAGTTGCAGTAAAGAAACATCCTCAGCTTATGCCTTAATGAGTCAGAATTGTGATATTTATAGAAATTGTGGTGCCTTGCTGTGCAGTTCTTTGTAGTGGTTCTGCCTGAAAAGGAGCCAGGAAAGGCTGAATTAGTTGTTATCACTTCTAGATGCATGTACTTCCCTTTCTAGGGACCAAAATGTCATCCCAGCTACTTTGGTGGCTTATTCAGTAATTTGGAGCAAGTTAAAGCAGTATTATATGGTATAAAAACGAGGAGCTCGCTCGTTCTCTCTGCTGTGGAATAGGGACAACATCACTGTTCAGCCAGAAAAATTCACTTCCTACTCTGGCCGTGGGAATTGTTCAGAGTGGCTGTGAACAGATTATTTGAACTGTTCAGAGAAAACAAATGAAAGCCCCAGGATAAGCTGATGAAGCTGGGACAGATCCTTTAAGTGAATTCTCTGCCAAGTGAATCCCAGAGTGTTTGAATCGATAACTCGTGCACTTAGATCTCCTTTTTCTGCTTCCCCTGATGACAATGAGGCATTGCCAGGGCAGTCCTCCCATGCAGGGAGCTGTCCCTGGCAGGCTGTGCCCGAGGAACGGGCTCTGATGTCCCTTGCTGGCTGTCCCCAGGGTGCCACTGCTCTGCACACCCAGCTGATGATGGAGCGGCTGCTGCGCCGGGTCAACCGCACGGTGATCGGGATGAGCCGCCAGTCCCCGCACATCGTGAGAGCCCCTCCTGCCTTCCCCTGCCTTCCCCTGCCTTCCCCTGCCTTCCCCTGCCTTCCCCTGCCTTCCCCTGCCTTCCTCTGCCTTCCCCTGCCTTCCCCTGCCCTTCCCCTGCCTTCCCCTGCTTCCCCAGCACCTTCTTTACAAGTGTTCATTCTCCTGGAGGCTTTTCCCTCCTTCCCCAGTACATTTAACAGCAGGGTTCATTCCCCTGGGAGCCTTTCCCTGCCTCCCCTCTGACTCCAGCCCTCTTTAACAGTGGGGTTCACTCCCCTGGGAGCCTTTCCCTGTCTTCCCTCCCTCCCCATCCCTCTTTAACAGCGGGGTTCACTCCCCTGGGTGCCTTTCCCTGTCTCCCCCCCTTCCCAGCATTCCCTAACTTGGGGGTTCATTCCCCTGGGAGTTCTCAGTGGCCTGATGAACTCATCTCTCCTTTCCCTGCAGGGCTTTTGTGCCCGTAGCTCCTGTTTTTCTGAGGATTAGGATTCAGGTTATCCTACTCCACTTTGAGCTGAGTCACTGGGGGTGATTTCATTTCCTTTGGGCTCCTGTGCACAGAATTTTGTGTCAGGGCAGTGCCTGGCACAGGATCTTCGCTGTGTTTTGTCACCTGGGCTCAAGAGGATGAGATGCTGAGGGGTGAGACCCCCTCAGGGGCATTTCTGACCCCTGTGTAGCAGCTGAGGGGGTACAGGCAGCTGGGGTGCTGTAATTCGCCCTGGATTTTGTGTACAGAGAGGGATGGGAAAGCCAGGAGCTGGGGATTTACCTGATTTTTGCTAAGTCTGGGGTCACTTTAATGCACCACCCATGAGAATTGCAGTGGCCCTGCTAAATCTGAGAATCAGAGAGTCAGCTTGGAAAAGACCTTTAAGATCTGATGGGGTGGATCAATATAGATAGAAAATAAAATTCTGTGTTTGGAGGATGTGTTTCTTTTGTGGTCCATGGGGAGAAAGAAAGCAATACCCAGATTTCAAGCTTGAATTTTAGGAATTCTTGACAGGTTTAGAGGACCAAACAGTCTGAGGTTGAACTCAGGACATAGATAAGGAGGATTCTGATCAGTGGTGTTTGATTAAGCCACACTGAGGTGCCACACTTAGGAGTTACAGCGCTTAATCTAGGAAAATAACCCAGCATTTTGTGTTTTTCCCATTCCAGGGGATTTTCGTGGCCTGCATGACAGCCATCCTGAGGCAGATGGATGATTTCCATTACAGCCATTACATCAACACTTTCAAAACCAGGCAGGACATCATCGTAAGTCAGCCTGGCTGGGGAATGAGCTCAGCCCAGCCAGCATCAGCACACTCTGCTCTGTGGGGCTGTTTCTGTGCCAAGGCTGGGGTGATCAAACCCTCAGCAGTGCCACAATTTTGGGGAATTTATTTGTGTCACCCTTGCTGGGCATCAAGGGGACTCAACATTTGCAGCATTGAGGAAAAACATTTTTTATGGGTGAAAAATGTTTGATTCCAGTCAGAAAGCAGAAAAGGGAAAAGAAAAGCATTTCCCTGGCTCTCACTTTGTGCCTGTTACCTTTATCCAATTCTTTTCCCCTATGAAGTTTAATTAAATGCTTGAATCTTGCTTGAGTGGCAGCAATGCAGAAAAGTTCCCAAAATGTTAAAAATTCACATCCTGAAAAACTTTGGGTATGAAGCCAGGTGAAATGTGACATTTCTGAGGGGTTTTTCTGCTTAAAATCAGCAGATTTTTTCCCAAACTCCCCCAAATGGCCCAAACTAGTATTTTAGCAAGACACAACACAAGAACTGTTTGGAGCTTTTTTTGTCCCTTTATTCCTTATTTTGCAATTGAGAAGTGGCTGTTTATTGAAATACCAGCTGGGGAAGGGCCTGGAGTTGTGTTCTTCCTGTACCAAAACCCACCAGAAGGTTTGGAATTCAGTTTGGGGAGCCAAGGCAATCTGTTTTTTTGCCCTGTGCAGTTGGAATTACGGAATTTCACAGAAAATCACTTGCAAAAATCAGCTGTTGAGCCACCGTGGAGCAACACAGCCATCTACAGGTCACTCATGCTTTGTGTGGGTTTAGGACTGGTTTTAAGTTGCCCAAATGATTTCTTGAGAAGGAAGAAAGGAAAAAAAAACCAAAATTAGGCATATTCAGGAATTCTGGAATTGTTCATCCAGTGAGAAGATTTTCAGGATGGTTATGGAAAATAACAATTTCTGATCTGATTTTTGTACACCTTTAAATCTACAGGAGCAAACTTTTCTTTGTAGTTGTGTGGTAGTTGTTACTACCAACAGAAAATTCTGTTTTACTGCAATAACTACTTTTATTTTTGTTTCTTCATTATTAGGTTTGCTTGTGCTGGTATTTCCAGCCCTGGTTTGGCATCATTCCCTGGCTAGTTTAGCACTTTCAGGAGTTAATTCATATCTTCAAGGTGCCCATGTCGAGTCCAGCCCTCTCCATCAGGCTCTGATTTAATAATGCCAAAAGGATTTTTACTGAGGCAGCACGAAGTGCTCCACTTCTCCGTCAATACCTTGCCAATTCTTCAGCCCAAACTGTTCAGCTCAACAGATTTTTTGCTGGTGATCATTTCAAGGGGATGGCTCCTCCTGTGACCTTCTTTGTGTCCCTCTCATTTTTGAATATTAATGTACTGCTGCAGAGAATGGAATTGATTTAAGAGCTCAGAGTGGCTTTTGTATCTGCTGAGACCACAAGGAAGAGATCAATATTCCTGATATTCCCTTCTTTTGCTCATCTCTTTTCATTTTCCTTCTTTTTTTTTTCCCTCATTCTGCAATTCAACCTTGTTTTTCCCAAGTTTGAGGTCTTGTTTGGAGGATGTCTGTGCAAAAAGTGTCTTTTCTACGATAATGTAGAATAATTCTAAATCACATCTCTGATGTTACACTGTCCTTAAACTGGACCAGGAAAGATTTAACTGGTTAGTCAGTGAAAATACATTGTAATTTCAAGCTTTATAGATCATTCTGTTGCATTGTCACCACTCAGAGATTTGGGCACAAGCAATATTGGTTTTCCTCTCTAATCCAGCTCGTGCACAGGACTCCCTCCAGCACAACTTAATGCAAAACAGCGAAGACAGATTTAATTAAACAGACCAGCATTCTGTGCAATTATTTTTCCTTGTGCAGCTGGATGGATGAGATGTCAGGAATAATTTCATTATTGGGCTGCAGCCCCACAATGAGAGACCCCTCTTAGGCGAGGCAGGGCATTGATTGCCAATCAGCATGGTCGTTAATCAACGCAGTGCCCAAACATTTGCATTTCATGAGGTCACAGCATCATCCCCCTGAAGTTCCACAGACACAGAACTAGACATGACAGGCTTTATTTTTCCAACAGGACTTCCTGATGGAAACGTTCATTATGTTCAAGGACCTGATTGGGAAGAACGTGTACGCAGCTGACTGGATGGTCATGAACATGATGCAGAGCAGGTACGGGGTTAAGCCTGGCTTAAGTCTGGCTTTGGAGCCTCCCTGGGCCTGACAGGAGGGTGACTCACACCAGGAGCTTTATTTCCTTCATCCACTTCAGGCTGGTTTAAATCAGATTTCAGCCAGTTTTAGCTGCTGTGTGTTTCCAGTGGTGGAACTGGAATCTCTCTGCTGCCCAGAGAGCCCCGAGCTCTCCTTTACAACTTCAGCCAGATAAACCATTTTGCTCTTGTTTTGTGATTTTGGGGAAATCACGTGGAAAACCTAAAGCCAGAACTGGACAATGCTTAACCACTCTTCCAGAGAGGAAATTTTCCCTGATACCCAACCTGAGCCTCCCCGATGCAGCTTGAGGCTGTTAAACCAGGGAAGAGCTTTGCCTGGATGTTCCCTGATTTAGAGGAATTCCTGCCTTTTTTGGGAGCATCTGTTGCTGTCTCCTGAGCTTACACATGGGAGCTGTAAACCCAAAGCTGCAATGCCATTTATTTTGTTAACAGAATCACCCTTATTTGATGTTTTTATCTCTTCAGGGTTTTCCTGCGGGCAGTGAACCAATTCACCACTGTCCTCAACCGCTTCTTCCTGGATCAAGCTCATTTTGAGCTCCAGGTAACTGTCCCGTTTTTTCTGGATTTTCTTATGGATCCCAGAGCTGACAGAACACCCAAATCCCATTGTTAGCAGGCTGCAGCTCCTTGTGGTTCCCCTCCTCATGGAGAGAGCTCTGCATTTGGGGATGGGCAGCTTTTTTTGTGCCCATTGCTGCTTTTCCTTTTTGCCATTTTCATCTCCTTTCTCTCGCCCAGCTCTGGAATAACTATTTCCACCTGGCAGTGGCCTTCCTCACTCACGAGTCCCTCCAGCTGGAGACCTTCTCTCAGGCCAAACGCAACAAAATCATCAAGAAGTGAGTACACCTTTCAGGCCTTTTTTTTTTTCTTTCTTTTTTGGTGTCTGGAGGCTCCGTTTGGGCTGTTCCAGGCAGCTCCAGGGTGGGAGGAGCTGTTGTGGAAATGCTGATAAAGGCAAGATGATAAAGAGCTGACCAGGCCAAGATAACAGGGCTGTAAATTATGGCTGCTTTTAAGTTTGGCCAGGCAGATCTTGAACTGTTTTAGCACCTTCTGTCCACTGGAAGGTCTGTAATGGAAAAGTTATCATGATACCCAAAATTCCCCTGTGCAATTCCTCAGCCTTCGTGGAAGGTAGGTCAGAGGAATCCTAAAAGCCCTCTAGCTTTTTATTCCCCCACCTTTTACTTTTATATTTTTCAGAGCCATTCATAGTCCCAAACCAGCAATTTTTAGTCTCTGAGCAGCTTTTAACCTCTTCATTTCCTTGGAATCAGGTGCCTGGATATCTCTGAGCATCTTGACAGGGACTTTTATTAGGATTTGTCCCCTTTTTTCTGCAGAAGAGGCTTGAAGAAGCCTGATAATGAAATTTTTTTGCATTGCCTTTAGGAAAAAGCACCCAAATCCAACCGAAGTGGGGTGGAATTGCAGGAAGCAGCAGGGCTGCAGCTTTCAGGAGATCTGAAATCCCAGGGAATTCAGTCCCCTGTCAGAGCGAGACGTGAAAATTTGTGGTTTTGCCGTTCACTTCTTCAAGGATCTTCATTCCAAGGATCATTTCACTGTTTGTGCCTTTCTCACCTCTTCCTTTTAATACTTTTTTTCTAGGTATGGGGACATGAGGAAAGAAATTGGCTTCAAAATCAGGGATATGTGGTATAACCTGGGTGAGTTCCAGCTAAAGAATTATCTTTATTCCAGCTCTCAAACTGGCTTTCAGATCCGTTATTTCCTTATAAAAGCTGCATGTATTTAATGTGGGGAAATGCACTTCTAGTTCAGCCGTTTCAGCACACAAAAACCTCTTTTTCCAGTGAATAACTTGGAAAAGCTGATTTTTTTTCCTGACATCAGCTGCTGAGATAATTTCTTAGATTCCCTCTGAAGGATTTTCTGCCATGTAAAGGATGAGTGGGATTTTTTAGAGAGCCTTTTCTTGCAATTTACAATTCAGCTCAATTACTTCCTCAGGCTATTCCTGAATTTTGGAGTTGTAACCTGGTAATTCTTCCTTAAGTAAAATCCACACTCTGAGCAGAATGTTGTGTGAATAAGGTGCTTGAACATTGAGAAATCCAAATCCTGCCACCAGATGTATTTGATTTTAAATTTCTTGCAGGTCCCCACAAAATAAAATTCATCCCAGCAATGGTGGGGCCAATCCTGGAGGTGACCCTGGTCCCAGAGCCTGAGCTGAGGAAAGCAACTATTCCCATTTTTTTTGACATGATGCAGTGTGAGTTCAACTTCAGTGGGAACGGGAACTTCCACAAGGTAAGGGATGCCATATATAACCAATATATATATAAATTATATTTTTATAAATATTAAATTAATATTTAAATTATAAATAATAACATTTAATAATAATTAATAATAATTATTAATATTAATATTTAAATTATTTTATATTTTTATTAAATTATATTTTATTATTTATTTATATATTATATCGATATTTATATCTATATTAGATATATAAAAATATAAAATATATATTATTATATATGTATTATATATAAATATATCATATATAAAATATATAAATATATCTTAAATATATAAAAATTCTCATATAGGTATTTAATACAATATAATATGAAATATATAGATATCTTTTTTACAATAAGTGAAAAAGACACCATATTTTAATATATAATATATATATACAGTATTATATATAATGTACTAGTATATTCATTCTATATTAATATAAAATAATATCTATAAAATAATATATAAATACACTAAATATATAAAATATATAAATATATAATATATAAACATACAAACAGAAATATTATATAAATATTTATATATAGAATAAATATATAAATATACAGATACATATATTTATATTATAATACATAATATATATTGTAAAATAATATTAAAATATATATAGATATATATTGTATATGAAATATAATATTAATATAGAATAGTACATCAATACATGCGTTTGCAATATATACACAATACTGGTATATTCACTACAAATATTCCACATTGTCTGTAGGGCAAAAGAAAAATAGAATATTTAAACAAAACAAAACAAAACAAAAATCCCTACCTAAAATTGTGTCAAACTCCTTGGGGAAGTCCCTGGGGTTTGGAGGGTTCAGAACTTCTCAGATCTGTCCTGACTGAGCCTTTCCATGACTTTGATAATCCCTAAATTCTCCTTTTTTCACCCTTCCCTGCATTTGCAGAGGTGTCAGTGCCCACCTCTAAACTGGGAACCATTTGGAGACCCACAGAGGGTGTCAAATGTCATTTTAGCTATTTATTTCCCTTTACAATAACAACATAAATCCCCTGTGACTTCGCAGAGAATCAAATATTAGGATTCTGTGCTTGCTTAATTACACCAGGCTGGGAGGGGTGCGAGAGGGAGGCCTTGCATTTCCTTCCTCCAACCTTGTCATTTTGGGCTTTTTACTCTTGTGCTGGGTCAGGAGCAGCCCAGGCTGTTCTGGTCCCAGCCCCTGCTCCTGAGAGCTGCTCTCTGCTTGATTGGGGGTTTTTATTTTTGCCTTTCCAGTTTGAAAACGAGCTGATCACCAAGCTGGACCAGGAGGTGGAGGGGGGCCGAGGGGATGAGCAGTACAAGGTCCTGCTGGAGAAACTGTGAGTTTTATAAAGCACCTGCAGGCTCTTCTTACATCTTTTTTTTTACCTTTTATTGGGCTGCTTTTCTAATGTAAAGAAGCCCTAACTCATTAATTATTCCAGTGAGCAGGGAGCTGGTGCAGCTGCTGTGATCTTAGTGCTGTGAAGCTCTTCTGGGGCTGATCGCCCAAAAATAAGGGGTTTATTCTGCACTTTTAACTGCCCTAAATTGAAGCTGGAATTCAGAGTCAGCTGCCAAACTGGCGAGGGGTCTGCAAGTGGAAGAGCAGGCTTAAAGTTACATCAAAACTGGAGCTTTTAGCAACAAAAACTTAATTTTTTTGACCAACCTGCCCCGCCTGAGCTGGGTGTTTCAGGTGTGTGTGTCCAGCACTGAGTGCCCATCCACGGACAAGTTTTTGGGTAATTCACAGTGAAATCCCCTTTCCCTTGAGTTCCCTCGGGTGTCCCCACAGGCTCCTGGAGCACTGCAGGAAGCACAAGTACCTGTCAGCCCCGGGAGAGGTGTTTGCCCTGCTGGTCAGCAGCCTCCTGGAGAACCTGCTGGACTACAGGACCATTATGCATGATGAGAGCAAGGAGAACCGCATGAGCTGCACTGTCAACGTGCTGGTACTGGGCTGGGGACCTCTCCCCTGGGCTGGGGACCCCTCCCCTGGGCTGGGGACCCGTCCCCTGGGCTGGGGACCCCTCCCCTGGGCTGGGGACCCCTCCCCTGGGCTGGGGACCCCTCCCCTGGGCTGGGGACCTCTCCCCTGGGCTGGGGACCTCTCCCCATGGCTTTTCTAGACCCCCTTGGGATTATTTTTGATCAAGGGCAGGATTTGAATGAATTCCTCCTGCCATTTTTGGTTAATGATGTGCCCAAGTCAGGCTCCGAAGCAATAAGCACAGAAAGATGGAGAGTCCAAAATCTGGAAGCCTGGAACACGGGCAGAGGAGATGCCTGGCTGATGGTTGGGATCCCTGTTCCCACTTGAGACAAGTGATTTCTCTGATCTGTCCCTTTTTTGGTGGTGCTGGTGCCCCCCAGTATGAAGGGCTGGATCTACCTGAGCTGCCAAAATGACAGCAAATATCCCTGAAATACCTAAAACCACTCTGTCTAGAGATAATTCTGCAGCTCTGTGGTGCTCTACATTGCCAATGTTTGACTTTTTCTGTTGTTGGCAGAATTTTTACAAGGAGAAGAAGCGAGAGGACATTTACATCAGGTAGGCTGTGTCCCTCCAAGAGCCTGGAAAAACCTTTTTTTCCCCTCAGTGCTCCCTTGGATACAGGAGTCCTTCCCATCAAGGAATTGCTTTTGCCTTGCTCAGGTATCTGTACAAGCTCAGGGACCTGCACACAGACTGTGAGAACTTCACCGAGGCTGCCTACACCCTGCTCCTGCACGCTGAGCTGCTCCAGGTATCCCAGGGTTTGGAGTGAAATGAGGCACAAACAACTCAGAATAATCAAATTGCTTTTTGTTTTCTGTATTTAATGTGACTTTGAATCATGTGGTCAACCAGTGGTCATTGAGGGGTGTCAGAGTCTTGCAGATTCCGCAGCAAAATAATGATATATTTTTATATATTTATATATATTTATATTTACATTTTTAGATATTTATAGAGATTTTTATATATTTTGTATATATTTATATATTTTATACATATAAATATACTTTATATAAAATATATATTTTATATATTTATATAGTTTTATATTTATATATATGTATATATTTTTATATGTAAAATATATAATTATATATATAAAATTATATATTTAATTATATATAAAATTATATATTTACCTATAATGAGAAATAATAATAGACATATAAAATATAATAATTGTAATGAGAAATAATGATGTACATATAATATATAATAATTGTATATAGTAAAATATCTAAAATAATATAAACAAATAATGATTCATTAGAATGAATAATAATAGAAATAATGAATTATATAGAAATATATTATATATCATTATAATTAATAGAAATATATTAATAGTTATGTTAATATTAATATATTGATATATAATTACAATGAATTACATAAATACAATAAATACTATATAATTAAATAATAATGATTAAAGTAATTATTAGCATCAGTTTGTTACGTCCTCCTGCAGCAATGAGAGATTTGAGTCACCCACTGTAAGAATTTCTCTGGAAATGTTCCAGTTCTTTCACCTTTGCCTTTTTCCCTGTTCCAGTGGTCAGAGAAGCCCTGTGTCCCCCACCTGCTGCAGAGGGACAGCTACTACGTGTACTCCCAGCAGGAGCTCAAGGAGAAACTCTACCAGGAGATCATCTCCTTCTTTGACAGGGGCAAGGTGAGAGTCTCACCCTGTTCCAGCAGCAAATCTGCTTTGGTTTGCATTTAGGATTTCCTTCCTGGTGGATTCTTGGCTCAGGGCTTGTGGTGGGGCTTGGTTAAAAGGGTAAAAGCAGATGTGGTTCCACACCAGGCTGGGATTTTGATGGAAATCTCAGCACTGCCATCAGCAGGGCATGTGCTTGTCTGAAGATATTTAAATAATTAATAAAATTAACTGAATTAAAAAATGACCAAAGAGTGTCTGGAAAGTGAAGCTATTCAAGGTTCTGGGTAGATTGGAACAGAGCAGGTGTTTTCCTTCCTGCCCCTGGGAGTGGCTCAGGTTTTTGGGATTGCAGGGAGAGAGGCTTCCCTGGCTGCACTGTCCTGGGAGCTGCTCCTTGGAGAGAGGTTTCTGCCAGGGCTGAATGGCTTTAAGCTGAAATAAGGGAATTTAGATGGGATCTTGGGAAGGAATTCCTCCCTGTGAGGGGCTGGGATGAAATTCCCAGAGCAGCTGTGGCTGTTCCTGGGTCCCTGGGAGTGTCCAAGGCCAGGCTGGAGCAGCCTGGGACAGGGGGAGGTGTCCTGGCCATGGCAGGGGTGGCTCTGGGCTTTCAGGTCCCTTTTCACCCAAATTCCATGATTCCATGGTGAGACAAACCCAAGGAGCCCCTGTCCAAGATCTCCTGGGCTTCTCTCTCTGCTGTTCAGACCTGTCATTCCTCCTGCCAGAGCCCCGTTTGTCCTGTCAGGATCTCAGTGGAGACCTGGCTTTGTAACTCACTCTCAGATCTCCAAACCACGAGATCTGTATGACTGTAATAATCCCTGCAAAAGGAAAAATGCACAGCAGAGTCTGAGGGAAACCTGGCAGAGCATGAAAGGAGTGCCTGAATTAAAATCAGCTGCATTTTTGTTTACCTGTCTGCGCTAATGAAGGCTTTTAACTGAGTCTTTCATGTTGCTTGTGCTCTTCCTCCCCCTCCTGCCCGTCCTCACCCTCCCTGGAGATGTGGGAAAAAGCCATTCAGCTGAGCAAGGAGCTGGCTGACATGTATGAAAACAAGGTCTTTGACTACGAGGGACTGGGTAATCTCCTGGTAAGGCTTTTTTTCTCCATTTCCAGCAGGCTGCTGACTGCTTAAATTAATACTGTTCAAGCAGGATAAGCCTAAAATAAATTCATGTTAAAGACAAACAAACCAACTTAACCCTGTGGCTTTGTAGAGGTTAGTAGTAGAATAAATATTTTCATCATTTCTAATTAGCATGATAATGCATTGTGCAGATGTTTAGAATTCTTGATTTTAACCAAGTGAAGGAACAGCCAAGGTGTGTTTTCAGACTCCATAAATCTCATCACCTTATTATTATTGTGGTAAAAGCTCTGGGCATGAACACAGAGCTATAGAATCCTCTTGGCTCTGAATTCTGCTTTTTAGTGGTTAAGGATGGAAGCAGATGGTCTTTATGTTCTTTCATAGCAGAATCATCTGCCCAGTTTTATTTCTGCCAGTTCTCTGACATTTGTCACCATTTGTTTCTGCTCACTTTCAGAATATAGTTATATTTCATTTGTTTTCCCACAGTGAAGGATTTCAAGTATCCTGGAATCCTAAAAGCCATGGCGTTGTTCTCATGTCTGCAGACCAGGAATTAACGTTGGTTCAGGCCCAGACAAAGCAAATATTTAATCAAGTAAATGGATAAGGATGAGAGACTGCATCAAAAAAGCAATTGCAAAGTGTGTTCTGAGGGCAGAGCTCAGAGATCAGGAATTGTTCCTGGGAACGTGAGCTGGCAGTGTCCTGGAGTATTCCAAAGTGAAAGTGTGGTGTTGTTTTCTTTTCCAGAAAAAAAGAGCTACTTTTTATGAGAATATCATGAAGGCCATGAGACCTCAGCCCGAGTACTTTGCTGTGGGATACTATGGACAGGGTTTTCCCTCTTTCCTGCGGGTAAGGATCCTTCCCCACCCAACCTCTGCAGTGCTGGAGACCCTAAAAGTCACAACTTTTGCAGAGCTTCCAAGAAAATCCAGTGCCAAACTCTTTTTTCTTGCAGTGGCACTGACAGATCTAAATCCCAGGAGTGTTTCAGAGCATTTCAGAGTCTAAAAAGAGACGAGTCAGAGATGAAATTTTGTGTGTTACCAGCTCGAGTGGGGTTGGGGTGTTACAGTAAATAGGTTTTTTAGACGATTGATAAGTTCTTCTATGGATTTAAACAGAATTTACCTTTCATATTTGTGCTCCCTCTGGAATGTGATTGTTGCTGTTAGAAAATGTTCAGCCTGTTAAGAATTTATCCCATTGCTTTTCAGCCTCAATCAACCAAATTTTCAGGACACGGATCATTTCAGTGATCAGGGAGAGTTTGTCCCACACAGAAGAATTCAAGTGCAAAGGTGCTTCTTATTTAAGCAGCTGAGCACTGCTGGACCTGTGTGGAGGACAGAAATAACTCAGATCCCGGGTCAACAAGGCTGAAAATATTCCTGTTATTTAAAACCCAGGTCCTTTTACCTTCTTAGACTGGAACTGTTTGAAGCATGGAAGGCTTTCAACTCCAAGTCATGTTTTGGAACCCATCCCTTCCAGAAACCACTGCTAGGTGGAAAAATAATCGGCCATGGTCTGGTTTTGGGTGTGTAGAGCAAAACTGGACATTGTGGGTGGAGGTAAAATTCCCACCTGTGCCCAGGGACACCCCTCAGGGAGCTCCCAGCAGGGGCTGGCAGGCAGGTCCCTGTATTTAGGAATTTCTTGGCACATTTATTCTGTTACTAAAACCCAGCTCCTGGCTGAGATTGCCTGTGTTGAGCCTGTGAGTGCTGGGAGGTGTGAGCAGCTCACTGACTCTGGGATGTGTTTGTGTGGCCATCAGCACCTGCTTGAGGATGTCCCTGCTCCTTGCAGGTGGCCTTTAAAAGCTCCTTTCCAACTCTGTTTGATGATTCTCTGTGGAGCAATGGATTTTTTTAGGCAAATCTGAGGTTCTCCTTGCCAGGCCTGGCTCCTGGGAGTTGCTGTGCCCTCATTCCAGCTCATGTTCCTTCCCCCACCTTTTCTGTCCAGCTGGGATCAACCCTTCCCCTAAACCAGCTCTGGGGGGGCAGATTTGGAGTGCTCTGTCCCACTACATTGTTGAATTTTAATTCCCTTTTCCTTCTGCCCACAGAACAAGATGTTCATCTACCGTGGCAAGGAGTACGAGCGGAGGGAGGATTTTAACCTGAAGCTGCTGACCCAGTTCCCCAGTGCTGAGAAGATGACCAGCACAGCCCCTCCAGCAGAAGAGATCAAGGCTTCCCCCAAACAGTGTATCTTTTGGGTTTGGGGCATTTTGGTGCAGCCCAGAGCTGCCTCTTCCCCACGAGAAGGCAGCTGGTGAACAGCAGGAACGATGAGCGAGGGGATTCTTGCTCCAGGCAGGCCCTGGGTGTGAAAATGGGGCTGTCCAGAGCTGTAAGGGTGGATTTAAAGGCTGCCTGGGGCTGTCAGAGTTAAACAAGTTGCTGTCAGGGCGAGGAGCAGATTGCAGGGAGGATTTCCCGTGTTCTCACGCAGGTGGTGCTGACTGCTCTGGCCATGTGGGGACCCAGCTGGGTATTTCTGGGTGAAAGATGTGAAATGCAGCCTGTGAAAGTGGGATGAAAAGTGAAGGGTATTCCCTTCTTCCTCGCACTCCATTAGCGTTTATGAGGTGCTGGGGTTTGTGTGGTTTTTTCCCCTGAAAGTCCCTTTGTAAAAAGTGTGAAGTGATGATATCACTGAAAGTTGTTGGGTTCAGAGCCCTAACTATTTTTTAATTCCTATTTTCCCCCTTGCTGGTGGGATTCCAAGCCGTGTCCCAAGCTCCCCACCAGCCTTAAGATCCTCTGAGTTGTGTGAGCCAGTGGAGATGCTCCAGATTCCTGCCAGAGATTTCAGTCTGTGGCTCCTGGAGGGTGCATGCTAGGAAAACCAAATTCCTGGGCTTCCAGCCTTTGCTCACCAGGCCAGGCTGGAGGATCTGCAGGTCCATTTTGGCCCTCAAACCCAGTGCACAGAGGCCCAGCCCAGGCAGTGCTAGCAGATGCTCCTCTGCAATCCTGCTGCCAAGCGCTGAATCCACATAGGAAATTAAAATCCATTCAAGACCAAACTTGGTATCAAAAATGCCTCTTCTGTTGCTGCTTTGTTTCAGCTGCTTCCTTTGCATCTGTTTGTGTTTGTTCTGATGTTTCTGGCTCGGGATGAAGCCGAGCTGCAGAATTTGGATGCAGATCTAAACCGTCCCGAAGGTTTGGGGGTGTTGGGTTCCGGGACTCTGGCACAGCCCTGGGATGGAGGGAGCAGCTGCAGGGCTTGGATTTGGGACAGGTTCTCCTTGGACTCCCACAAGCACCTCCTGAGTAGATGAGGAGTGCCCAGATCTCTGTTGTGTTAGGCAGACCTTGCTGCTTCTGGGGTTGCTTTAACTTTCAGGCTCCTTTAACCTCCATTGCCTCAGGTTCTTTTTTATTTCTTTAGGTTGTTTTTTCTTCTCTTTTATGACAAAATACCTCGTTCATTTTTTGGTAATAATGTTTTGTGGCTGCCAGGTGAGCTGTGCTGAGCCTCAGAGGTTCCCTGCCCCATCTGGGTGCTGGGGCACCGAGCTCTCCTGACACAGAATTCATCAGCTGGGGCTCTGAGCCTGAGCTAACCTGGCTCTGTGCTTTTGGGCTCAGCTTTGGCTTCTCTCTGTGGGCAGGGTGACTTGGGCTCTCAGAATGTTCCTCAGAGCAGCCTTAGTGAATTAAAGGATGTGTGGGGGCTGCCTTAGCCCCCCACTGCCACCTCAGAGAGCAGGGCACTCACAGAAATCATCTCCTGAGCACCTTGGCTAAGCTTTGCTTTTCCAGCCAGGTTTTTGCTCCTGTAAAGCCTCAGCACAGTCCTTAAAGCAGAATTTTGATGGAACATAAGCTGCTGTGCTTGGGGATGCAATTAGTAAGATTTTTTTAACGCCTGTCATTATTCACAGGTGCAAAAGCTGAGGATGAAGCAATTCCTTTGTTTAGTTGGTTTCATGAATCTAAAAAGTGGGAGGGAAGGAGCTGCAGCCTCTGGTAAAAAACTGGGGTGAGAGGAGAGCCAGAGGCATCCACAGAACCCCACTGCCCTTTTTCTGGTCTCCCACAGTAGAAATCAGTGGTGCCCAGGATTCCCAGGCATTTTCACCAGGGAATTGCAGCACCTGGGAGTGTCCAAGGCCAGGCTGGAGCACCCTGGGATAGTGGAAGTTGTCCCTGTCCATGGCAGGAGGTGGCACAAACCATTCCATGATTATTACTTTTATATTTTTATATATACAAATATATAGATATATTTATTTATTTATATTTTTATATTTATGTATATATTTGTATTTATACATATATTTCTATTTTATATATATATTATATAGAAATATTTTTCATATAATATATAATATCTATTATATATTATGTTTATTTATATTATATAAATATATAATATAAACATAAGTGTATATAATATAAATATTTTGAAGTATATAATATATATTTATATTATATATATATATATATTTTCTATATATTAGATGTATTTCTATATTATGTATATTAAGTCCTTTTCTTTTTGGGTTTTTAATTCACAAGGAGCCTAAAAGATGCAGCATAATGCCTGTGATGGGTGATGAATTAGCCAGGTTTGAAGGAAAACACTTAACAAGAGCACAGGGAGTTGTGGGAAAGTCTGACAATGGAAGCAGGAAGGGTTTTTCTCTCCCTCTCCTGTTTTCCCAAAAGGGTTCCTAGGTTTTCATCCTTAACCCCTGCTGCTCAGATGTGCAGTGCTTCATTGTAAAGCCTGTGATGAACCTGCCTCCTCATTACAAAGATAAACCTGTTCCTGAACAGATCTTAAAGTAATTTATTTTTCTTTTCCCTCACTATTTTGCTTGAGTTTTCCCCACGAACCTGGGCACGAGGTGCTGTGCCTCCATGCCTCGTGTAAACCGTAAATTCCTCCCCACAAACCGTGGGGAGCTACTCAAACACTCAAGTGAGGAGGATGGGAGATGAGAAAAATCACCTTTTTACTCTACCTCTTCCCAGCTACTACAGAGCCAATGAGGTGCAGCAATTCACCCACTCCAGACCCATCAGGAAAGGAGAGAAGGATCCAGACAACGAGTTTGCTGTGAGTCCTTTGCCTTCTCTTTGTTTTGTCGGTGGCATTTTGACCAGTCTCACCTTTTCCCTCTCCCTGTGGCCACAAGAGCTTGGGAATTAAAAAAGCAGGAGGCACAGAGGGAATTGCAGTCTCCACCTGAGGTTGGGGGTGATGCCAAGGGGCTCCACAGCTGGAATTTTAACATCCAGCATCCATCAGAAATCCACCCACATGGTGTTGTGTGAGCCCAGTGTGGGGCTCCATCCCAGCCGGGGAAGGTGGGAATGGCCGTGGAATTCCTGCCAGCTTGTTCTGGAAGCCTCATTCCACTCAGGAGAGAGTTGAGTTGCAAGACCAATATTTCCCTTACATCTCAGATATCCTTTTATTTTCCTTCTTCTCTGAGCAGAACATGTGGATAGAAAGGACAACCTACACGACAGCTTATTCCTTTCCAGGCATCCTCAAGTGGTTTGAAGTCAAACAGGTCACGACGGTGAGTTCTCCACTGGGGCTGGATCTCCTCCTCTCCAATCCCCATTGAATAAAGCCTTGGAACACTTGGGAATTCCAGTCCTTGCACTGTTGAATGTGGCACCGATAAAAGCAAATTATTTAGCTTCTTACTCAGTGTAGAGGAATAAATCACAGAACTATGGAATCCCAGACTGGTTTGGGTTGGGAGGAGCTTAAAATCATCCAGTGCCACCCCTGCCATGGGTGGGGACAGCTCCCCCTGTCCCAGGCTGCTCCAGCCTGGCCTTGGGCACTTCCAGGGATCCAAGGGCAGCCACAGCTCCCCTGGGAATTCCATCCCAGCCCCTCCCCACCCTCCCAGGCAACAATTTCTCCCTAAAAATGGAATGAAGGTTTGAAAGGCTTATTCTGTGACTCTGCAGTAGGTTCATTCTGTTTCTTCCCTCCCTCAGGAGGAGATCAGCCCCCTCGAGAACGCCATCGAAACCATGGAGCTGACCAATGAGAAGATCACTAACATTGTCCAGCAGCACACGTGGGACCGGAGCCTGCCCGTGCACCCCCTGTCCATGCTGCTCAACGGCATCGTGGACCCTGCTGTCATGGGTGGATACACCAACTATGAAAAGGTCTGGGCACATCCTCTGCAGGGCTGGAAAGCTCACCTTGAGCAGGGAAAGCCCCAGGGAGAGCTCAGAGCCCCTTGCAGGGCCTGAAGGGGCTCCAGGAGAGCTGGAGAGGGACTGGGGACAAGGGATGGAGGGACAAGATACAGGGAATGACTTCAAACTGTCAGATGGGATATTGGGAAGGAATTCCTGGCTGGGATGGAATTCCCAGAGCAGCTGTGGCTGCCCCTGCATCCCAGGACGTGCCCAAGGCCAGGCTGGATGGGGCTCGGAGCAGCCTGGTCCTTAAAGGAGGACACAAGACTGTGTGACTTGTCCTGTTCCTCTGTGCTGAGGAGGGCTTGGGCAGGACCCAACAGGATCAGTTCCACTTCCAGCTGTCCCAGACACGGCCCTTGCTGGGTCTGGGCGTGCACAGCTTGGACAGGAGCAGAAAAGAGCAGAGGGCAGGTTTGCAGCGAGCTGGAAGGGCTCAGGCTCGGGGCCAGGGCAGGATCCAGCTCCTCTGCAGTGGGAGAGGAACCTGTTCCTGCCCTGTGGGGCACAGAGGTGCTCCAGTAACAGAGAACAGGCAGAACCTGGCGTTTCTCCTGTGTATTAGCAGGGAATGACAAGGCAAAAGAGGCTTCCTCTTGCCAGCAACCTCTCTGTCCTTGGAGCCTTGCGACAGAGCAAACAATTCAGGAAAAAAGCAGCATTTCCTGTACTGGTTTACTCAGCTGACTTCACTTGAGCAGCGTAGGTTGCTCTTTTGTTGTGATGTTTAACTTGAGCTGCTGATTCCCTGCACCTAATGATGGAATTCCCAGCACAGAACGCGCTGCTTGTTTCCACGAGCTGGGGGAAATGTGGTAAAACACATTTAACCCTCCTCAGCTGTGCCCCAGCCCCATGAAAAGAGCTGCATGAGTTAATTGGGAGAGGGGCTGATTGTTCTGGGGCCTAACTCTGCTGATTCCAGAGCAATTTGAATGCTTTGCCAGGGCTGAATTTGGCCCTGAAATCCTCCCATTTTCTGAATTAAGGTTGACATCAAGTTTAGAATTACGGAAGTGGGAAAGCAGTTAAAACTAGAAAACACAAAGTCTCTGCAGCCACATCTGGAAATACTCATTTCTATTTCATATTTTCCTATTTCAGCTGCAGCTCAGTGCAGAACATTTAGCTTTTGTGGGAGGCTAAAATCTGGATTTTGATTCTTTCATTGTAGCCAAAAGCCAAAGCTGGGGTTTTTAACATCTTTCCTCTTGCAATAATTAAGCACTTTCAAGGAAAATCCTCTGGGACCAACCCAACAGCCCTTTCCCAGGCTCACCTCCATCCTGTTCAGGATCAAACCCCCAGCCCTATAAACTTGTACCACGGTCCGGTTTTACAGAAGTAAAAAAAATATATTCAGAGGCTAAAATAGCTCAGAGAAGCAAATGAAAAACTTATTAGGGGGTTTATCTAGGAAAAAAAATAAAATTATTCTGACCAGGAATTGGGATCCATTTCAATGGGATACATCATGGGAATTGGCACAATTTTAAGTTTTCAGTCCAGGAAAGTGGATTTGTGGTCAACTTCAAACCAAGACCAGATTCTGCTGATTAAAAGTAAACCTAGGAGAAGTGGAGACTAAAGGTGCTTTGTTGAAGGAAGCTGGGAGCCCTGTTCCCAGTCTGGTCATTATTTCTATTTCTTTGTAACCAGCCCCAGGTGAAAATGAGGGATTTAAGGGCTGAAATCAGGAAATTGTAGCAGGAGCTGCCCTGCTCTCCTCGGAGCAGCTGAGTGATTTGGGTGTCCTTGTGTGCTGTGGGGCACTGACTGCTGGAAAATAAAGAGGCTTTTTCAAGTCAGAGCTTGAGGTTTTGGGCCTGCCTCTTGCATTTTAGTGAAGAGTAGAAGTGATGGAACCTGAGTTATTCAAATATGTGCTGGTTTGTGAGAAAGCGATCAGGACTGGGCGAAACCTTTTTGATGCAGTGACTGCTTTTCCACGTGTTTCACTGGAAAAAAATGTATTTTTAGAAGTGGGTTTTGTTCCCTTTTCCCAACCGGTTCTTTGTGTCTCAGCTTAGTGCAGCAAAACTTGGGTTTAATATGAAGAATAATGGCAGTGAATTGCTTTTAAAGGATCTTCCCCTCGGAGCTGCCTGAGGAGCAGTGTCTGTGTCACCTGTGTCACCTTCTCTCTGTTCTTCCAGGCGTTCTTCACAGAGAAATATCTCCAAGAACATCCTGAAGATCAAGACAAAATCGAGCTGCTCAAGCAGCAGATTGCTATACAGGTATGGAATTGGGAAAGAGCTGGGGAAGTGGGGAAGAGGGAATCACAGAATCCTGGAATGGTTTGGGTGGGAAGGGACCTTAAATCCCACCCAGTGCCACCCCTGCCATGGGCAGGGACAGCTCCCACTGCTCCAAATCCCATCCCATCAAAATGTTGATGTTTGTTCGACACCTTGAGCTCCAGCACAGAAATCCCCTCTCTGTCACCAGCTCTGAGTCAGCAGCTGAGCTCCCTTGCTGTGTCACTGTTTATTTTCCCCTCTGCAAGCCCAAACCACCTTAATTTAAAACCTTTAATTTTTATCTGATTTAATTTTTACTTTTCAAATTTTTAATTTTCAAATTCTCAGTTATATCTGAGCTGTTCCGCTGGCACTCTGGGGAGCGGGAGGGTTGGTTTGTACTCCTGCAGCTCATCGTGCTCCTTCCTCCCACCCTTCCTCAGATGCCTCTCCTGGCAGAGGGGATCCGGATCCACGGGGAAAAGCTGACGGAGCAGCTGAGGCCCCTGCACGAGAGGCTCACAGCCTGCTTCAGGGAGCTCAGGAGGAAGGTGGAGACGCAGTATGGGGTCATAAGTCTGGTGAGAGAACCTGGTTTTTCCATGTTTTGCCCCAGAGGAACCCAACTTCCCCTTTTCCACCCATGGGTGGGTGTGAGGGGGTGTCATGGAGCCCCAGAATCATCAGGGTTGGGAAAGAGCTTTGAGACCATTGAGTCCCAGCTGTGTCTGATCCCCACCTTGTCACCTCCAGGAGTTCCTTGGACACCTCCAGGGATGGGGATCCAAACCTACCTGGGTAGTTCCAAGGCCTGATCCCCCTTTCCATGAGGAAATTCCTGCTGCTGCCCACCCTGAGCTCCCCTGCCCAGCCTGAGGCCGTTCCCTCTCCTCCTGTCCCTGTTCCCTGGGATAAGATCCCAAATCCCCCCGGCTGTCCCCTCCTGGCAGGGAGTTGTGCAGAGCCAGAAATTCCCCCTGATCCCCCTTTTCTCCAGGCTGAGCCCCTTTCCCACCTCCCTCAGCCCCTCATGGGGCCTCTTCCCAGTTCCCTTCCCTGGATTCACCCCAGCCCCTCCATGCCCTTCCTAAACTGGGGGGCCTGGAACTGGGCCCAGCCCTCAAGCTGTGGCCTCCCCAGTGCTGAGCACAGGGGACAATCCCTGCCCTGCTCCTGCTGGCCACCCCCTTCCTGATCCCAACTGTTGGCCTTCCCAGCCACCACTCCATTTTGGGAATCAGGACTTGGCAACCAAAACTGTAGAGAGATCTGTTTAATTCCATCAGCTGTGAGCACCAGGGGATCCCAAACCATGAGGACCTGCTCAAGGCAGGTTCCAGGTGTAAATGCACAGTGATCCCACAGGCTCACACCTCCCTGCCCACTATTCTCTGCTTTCTCTTGCCTCATACAATTCATACAATTCCAATTAGCTGCCATGCCTCCTGGTTTGGTGGTTTTTTGGGATGAAAGCTGAACGTCTTCCTCAGTGTTTGCTGATTGGTCTCTGGGCAGGCTTAGTGGGGCTTTGGCTTTCTCCCAGATCAGCTTGTCCAGAGTAAAACCACAAGTGTGGTCCTGGCTGGTTTCTGGAGCCACAGATTCCTGCTTTGTCAGGTTTTCACAATACCCAGGTCCTGCTCTGCTGAGTTTTGGCAATATTTCCACAATACCCAGGTCCTGCTCTGCTGAGTTTTGGCATATTTCTCACACCTGGCAGCTGAGTTCCTGTGTGGTTTGTCACAAACTCTTTCTGCTGGGTGTTCTATGTCCCCTCTACTTGTTTAAGCATATGACAAGCTTCTAAAATTCTGAATTTTCATAGCCATGGGTGTTCCCCCTCTCGTTTCCCTGCAGCCCCCAGCGCTGACCGAGAGGAAGCCGAGCAGGTCTGGCTCACTGGTGCTGCCCTACATCATGTCCTCCACCCTCAGGAGGCTCTCGGTCACCTCTGTGGCCTCATCTGTGGCCTCCACGTCGTCCACCTCATCCGACAGTGCTTCCTCCAGGCCGGGCTCGGACGGGTCAGTGGTTGAGGTGGGGGGGGTGTGCCTTAGGCAGGACCAGATACTCTGAAAATCAAGGTTTATTCCATAGGAATGCATTTAAAAATGTTACTGGGAGTTGGTGTTGTTATTCTGTTATATTATTATATTATGTTATTCTGTTGTTATAACAGAGGGGGTTTGGGGCACAAACTGTGGGAGCTGAGCCCCAGCTGCTGCCCCTGGAGTCCCAGCACGTTCCAGGTGCCCCCTGCCTCTGTTTCCCAGGAGTGAGGCATCCAGGGTGGTTTATTTTGGTCAGCCAGGAGGTGAATAAGGCACCCAGCACTTTGTTCACACTGTCTCCCTGGAAAGGAGCTGCCACACCTGGACATTGTCTGCTGTCACTTGGCAGCACATTGACTTCCCAGCTGGGATAACCAGAGTTCAGGTGATTTGTTCAAGGTCAGTGAGACTCATGGCTGAGCATGAACTGCAGCTCTGGGTGTCTCTGCAAGCAGATCACACTTCACCCTGGACAAAAACCACATAATACTCAGAATTCCAGGGCTAACAGCACAAATCCCGCTGAAAAATCCATGGTCCTGCCTCAACCTTTTAACAACAATCCCTTACACAAGCTGAGAGGTCACAGCTTTTTACCAAACAGTCCTTTCCATGCCTGATGGACTCGTGTTTCATGTTTTTCCTCTCTCTTTTGGGCCACAGATCTACCCTGGAGCCTCTCTTGGAGAGGAGAATATCCACATCTTCCAGAGCTGAGGAGCTGCCCGTGAAAGACGACGGTGACAACAGGATTAGCAAACTCAAGAGGAAGGAGTGGAGCATTAGCAAGTCTCAGGTTATTGTGGAGAAGGAGCCAGAAGCAGAACTGACTTCCAAAATGGTAAGAAAACCATCACAATAATGACAGCAGTAATAAAACCCACAGCAGGAGCTGAGTGTTTCCATTGCTCTCAGCCATGCTGGGCAGGGGGAGCTTCATTAAACACTGGGAGGGGTTCAAATACCAAAGAGCCTCTGTCATCTGAGTAATTCCCTTTTTTTTTTTAAATTTGGAAAATTGGTGTCACAGGCCCAACTGCAGCTTGGCTGGAGGTACAGATGGAGGCACTGGTGGCCCAGGGAGGGGCTGAACAGAGCCCTGGGGTGCTCTCAGCAAACCCCAGTTCTGTTGGAAGGAAAACCTCAGGCAGGCAGGGATCCAGCTGCCCAGCCAGATGTTGGGTGGCTGTCAGGCAGCACCACTGCACAGATCAAATGTCCTGGGAGGTGCAGGCCCCTTAGATGGACCTGGGAGTTGGGAAGAGATGGTCTGGTGGCTCAGATCATCTCAGCCTGGATCTGCCAGGCTGTGCTCTGTTCCAGTCCCAGGTAGAGGCCACCCTGGGAAATTGTCCTCATGGGCATAAAAACTGTGTTAGACCCTGGGATATTGTCCTGATGGATGCAAAAACTGTCTTACACCCTGAAGTATTGTCCTGACATAAAAACTGTGTTACTGTTTGAAATATTGTTCAGCAAAACCTGTGCTACACCCTCAGGCTGAGGGAATTGGGCACCTGGGTATTTCAGTGCTCCTAATCTCACTTAACTTGGTTGCTAATCTGATTTAACACAGGCTCATTTTTCACAATAAGGAGGAAACACCAATTCCTGTGTTGGCCTTTCCTCTCCCAAATTCCAGCTGGATCTGGCAGGGGCAGGTGATGCTGATCTGTTTTCAGGAGTTCTTATCAGGTCTGAGGGATGCTGCCAGCACTTGGAGGCTGTAGAGTGTTTCTAGGAAGGGGGTGTGTGGTTCCAGGGTGCTGTCAGTGGTACTGGCAGAGTTTCCAGCCCAGGAAAATTTGGGTTGTGGGTGCTGGTGCTGCAGGAGGCCTGGCCCTCTGCCTCTGGAATTGCTGTTGGATGAAATCCCCAGTATTTCTGAAGGGAAGGAGCACTCCAGGGCTCCAGTCCTGCTTCAGGACACTGCAAAGCCCAGGAAAAGCTGCTTTTATGGCTGCTCTGCTCCATGGCTCCAGAGTGAGCACAGGAGTTGGACAGAGGAATTTTCTGGAAAGCCAGAGGGAAGCAAAGACTGCCTGGGCTTTGTGTGTTTTACATCCACCCGTGTGTGGTCCCTTAAATCCTGAACTGCTGATCCCTGGAAAAGAGTTTAATTATGTGCTCAAGTGACAGCCTGCCCTGGGAAGCAATGAATTGATATTTAAAAGGACCCCAGTATTCATGCACTGAACTTTTGGGGCCGCACTGAGGTGACCTCGTGGTTTGAGTGAAGTGCACAAAGGGTGTTAAACTGGAAGGAGCCGGATACAGATTCCCAAATGAGAAGGATTTGCTCTGTAAAGCCTCAAATAGACTCATTTCACAGCTCTCAGGAGCTGCAGGATTCAGTCAGCACCAGCAGCCCTGACCTGCAGCCAGAATTTCATTTTTTCTTTATTTTTTGGGAAGACCTCACCTTCACCCCCCTCCAAAGTTTATTCTCAGAACTGCAGCAGATTTTCAGTGTGGCATCCTGAAATCCCTCCTTAATCTTATATCAATCAATCAATCAATTGACTTAATTTAACTGCCATTGCTGCTGCTCAGGAAGTGCCAGGGGAAGCTGGACTGTGTCTTGGGAACACAGAGCCAGGGCAGGGGTCACTCCTGCTCACCTGTCCCTGGCTGGGGGTGCTCACCTGTCCCATGCTGGGTGTTAGTGTCCCTGCCAGCTCTGAGTTCCCTGCTGTGCTCACCTGTCCCATGCTGGGTGTTAGTGTCCCTGCCAGCTCTGAGTTACCTGGCTGTGCTCACCTGTCCCATGCTGGTGTTAGTGTCACTGCCAGCTCTGAGTTACCTGCTGTGCTCACCTGTCCCGTGCTGGGTGTTAGTGTCCCTGCCAGCTGAGTTACCTGGCTGTGCTCACCTGTCCCTGGCTGGGTGTTAGTGTCACTGCCAGCTGAGTTACCTGGCTGTGCTCACCTGTCCCATGCTGGGTGTTAGTGTCCCTGCCAGCTGAGTTCCCTGCTGTGCTCACCTGTCCCATGCTGGGTGTTAGTGTCCCTGCCAGCTCTGAGTTACCTGGCTGTGCTCACCTGTCCCATGCTGGGTGTTAGTGTCACTGCCAGCTCTGAGTTCCCTGCTGTGCTCACCTGTCCCATGCTGGGTGTTAGTGTCCCTGCCAGCTGAGTTACCTGGCTGTGCTCACCTGTCCCTGGCTGGGTGTTAGTGTCACTGCCAGCTAACTCAGCTGGCAGGGACACTAACACC